CTGGCGTCTCGTTTCTCTTGCTCGATCTCTTCCGCAGTCTTCACCTTGTTGCGCTTCTGTTTCTCTTCAACGTACCGTTTGGCCTCATTCGCGAGTAGCTCAGCCTTTCTTCTGTGGTCTCGATGTTCTGCCCTTAAGAGTGTCCTGAAATGGGACGCATGAGCCAAGAGATGATCGTGGTGCGCATACTGTCTCTTTGGTTCATCTTGCTTCTCGGGCACCGCATCGACAAGCTTCTTGTCAAGCGACCCGCCACGCTTCTGTGCATCCCTCACTCTTCTCCTAGCCAACGCCTCATTCCTGACTTGATCAGGTGTCAATGTATCCTCGCCTGCCCTTGGTTCTGTCTCATCTTTTTCGAGAAACTCGGTGAAAGAAGCATACTTCTTGGGTAAAGGCACGTTGGCGGGACTAGCAATGGAGGGGGGAGGCAATCGAACTCGAAAGGTAACTCTGCGCAAAGTCAACGGAGGTGTGGAGCCCCTGGAGGACAGTGCGCTAGAGGTGTCGAAATCATCGCGGTCGCTCTCTTGCTCGATCTTCATGATCCCATTTGTCCACGCCTTATGGCCATGTATACCGTTGACCTGTGACGACGTGATCTGTGAGCGATGACTCGCACTTGTACGACGATGAGGGGATTTGGCCTGAAGTTTTGAGCTGTTTGTTGAATCTCTAAGATGTCTCTGCGATTGCGATGATTCAGCCTTGGGAGGGTGGTGTGTCTGGAGTGCATCGCGACCCTTGGGAGGGGGGACGGAGCCACGCTTGATGGTCCTCGGAGGTGAGATCTGTGCTTCAGCCTTGGACTTGCGAGCGGATACATTGTAAACAGGTTTTGCTTGTCTTTGGCGCTCTTCCTTGACTTTATCAAAAGCAGCACGGGTCTGCCTCTTGTTTGATTGCGGCTGTAGATCGAGGGGTATCACGTTTGTTCTCCCGGACTTTCGACGGCCATCTTGGATGAATGACGTCGGACCCTCAGCGACGACTCGTTTCCACGGGGGAGAGATGAGTCGAGGAGACGGTCTATGGTCAGCGCCTGCAACTTTCCGCCTCTTCGTGGGTGGGCCATCGTTGCTGCTGTGACTTTCATGGGGTTCGATGGAGGATCTTAGAGGGCTTTCGTGATTGCGTGCGGGCGACGTGGATCTCTTATCGAGCAATTCTAGGATACGATCAGCCAACTGATGTGATGTTGGGTTTAGTGAAGGGTTGAACGTACCGTGATGTTGGTGGTTGGAGTCTGAATGAAAGTCGCCGGTCGGAGAAGGAATCGGCATTTGGCGCGGTCACTGCTATTGCGGCCTGGCATGGCAAAATCGAGAGTCTCAGAAAAACACCAAAATGACAACGGGTATGCTCGATGGACAGGGCGTTAAAGTGGTCGAGTCGCGGGTCAATTTGTAGCACCGACCGAGTACAGTCACCTGGCGAAGTTTGCGGTAGCCTGAGACCAGTTTGGGCTGTTGGTGGGCGGTTGAAGTTGGAGGCGAACCATGAAAATATCGAGATGGGAAGAAAGTGAGCGCAGGGGGAGGAACAGGCGAGTTTAGGGCGCAAGCCACTGCGGAATCCCGCCCAGGCCCTGACAGCTCCTGCCTAGACCAATCACTGCCCGCCATTCTTCAACCTCAAGCATCCCTCATCTCACTCTCCACACACGACTCAACCCGTCCACAGTCCATCTGTGCCATCAAACTGAATGATTTGACCTTGACACTGCTTTCCTTGTTATCTGGCTCATTGGAGCCCCGTCCGCACAAACATGCTCTCCCGGCGAGCCTTGACGTTGGCCGCATCTTCCGCACGATCACTTGCCCGCACCCGACCTCAATCCCAAGTCCAGCCTCAATTCCGCCTCCCTCGAGCTCAGTTCTCGGTTGCGAGATGTCTGAAAGCTGCTGAGCAAGAGATAGATGATCCCGAAATGGTAGATTGATCCAGGGTTACAGCTTTGGGGAGGATGCTAATTTTGACGTTCAAAGAACAACAACTACATTAACCCACCTCGAATCAAGCGACAACACCGTGACCCATACGCCGACTGGGACGACAAACAAGAACGGCGCAACTTTGGCGAACCCGTCCACGAAGATAATGACGTTCTTGGTATTTTCGCTTTGGAGGACTATACATTCATGTCCAGCGCGCGAGGTCTCTTGATGTGGGCAGGTTTCGTCACCTGCGTTCTGGGGGTGTACTATGGCGTCGCATACACATATCCTGGCAAACCGAGCGCGCCACGAGAACTTGAAGGAGGACTATTTGAGGAGCTGGGAGGCCCGGGTGCCGTTCGGGTGAGGAGACAGTTGCTATTGCCATCATTATCAAGCTAATCAATGTAACAGGCACGCATGGCTGGGGACTCTGAAGACAGTGAATAAATCAGTGGTAACCTCGAAGCCAATCGTCAGATATCTTGGAATGTCAGCTGAACCGAGATTGAGTGGTGTGATAGTTATGAGCATCGACAGCAATGTCGACGTTCTCACTCGCGATGGATCAATCGGTGGGGATGGATGAATTATACACTGGTGCCATGCAATTGCTCGCTCAGACATTGCACGCCGCTGTGAAAAAGGTTGTACATAGCCTGAATGCACCTTTCGGCAAGATAAGTTTACTTTTGTTCGCATGAAAGTCAACTCTTTGGAGATGTGTAGTAGGTTCGCACCATTTCTTTGATCTATCCAGACTACATTCTCGAAGCCACAAGCCTCATGAGTAAAAAGTACTTGGAGCACAATATCAATATGCCAAATCTCCAAAAGGAGGATTTCCCACAGGGTAAAAACCAGCTATGTCAATGTTGAAGAATCCCAACGTCACGAGAGCAGAGTCAGAACCACGCCGCTCCCCAAGACCTATTGTGCATGTTGATATGAGAATAGAAAACCGCGATGCATCGTAAAGTCTCAACTCGATCACAAACACAAACAACCGTGCATGGTATGATGTGGTGGTAGTGGTGGTGACTTGTTATCCGGGACGAAAGCCGTATTTTATCTCTCTTTGCTTCTCTCTGTGCGTTTCAGACTTAACTTGTAAAACACATCGGTGGTATTTCGTCACCATTCTTTTCGTGATGGCCATCGTTGTGAGTTCGTTCCAGTGGAAGTCCCACCCGGGCCCCTGTATTCGTAATCTCAATGTCTGTGACACGCTGCTCCTGCCTCTCTGTATATGCGTCTACCAAATCTATGCGACCGTCCACATACCCCAACCCACAATCACAAACATGACCCAGTACCCACTCAGCTCGACGACAGCGCGCACGGCCGCACTGACCTGGGACTCGTCGCTGGGATCGGTGCCTCCGTCGGCGGTGGTCCCGTTCGCGAGACTGCCGTTGATGTAAGTGGCGGTGGTGCCGTTGTCGAAGGAGACGGTCCTGACGGTGCTGGTGTTGACGGGGGCGACGGGCGTGGAGGAGCCGTTGGTGACCACCTGGGTCAGGAAGGTCGAGTTGTTGTCTGGGTCGCACCCGCAGACCTGGTACTGCTGGCACAGGCAGGTGACGTTGGAGGTGCGGTTACGGCCCTCGTTGTCTAGCCAGTAGTACGGGATGCCATAGGGGTATGCCCACACGCTGCCGTAGAGCCAGAGGCCCGGGAAGAACGCCAGCGCACCCGCGCCGATGAAGAACGGTGCGACACCCAGCGTCGGCGATCTGCGTCCCGCAGTGTACGGCACCACCGCGCCGCCCGCGTATCTGTTCCCGTACGCCTTGGGAGTGCCTGAACCGTCGCGCGTGCGTCCGCCAGCGTTGGACGCCGACGAAAACGAGTATGGCTGCCCGTTTGGTCTTGTGGACGATCCGCCAGAACTGCGCCCGCCACTGCTGGAGCCGCCTGACGAGGAGCTGCCGCTGCTCCCGCTACTGCCTCCCCCTCCTTTACCGCCGCCGCCACCTTTGCGCTTTTCAAGATGGTTGAAGAAGTCGAGCGGAGATGCGACCTCGCGCACCGAGAGATCTGTAGAGGGGGATGAAGGAGGGGCCGAGGCGATAAAGGAGATGACGGAGAAGAGGAGGGTTATCCGGAGGAGGAACTTCATTGTCGCAATATCACACTTGGTACCACCACTTTTACTTCTTGCTTGCGCCCAAAAAAAAGAGGATGTCAAAGGTTTGCGAATATTATTGTAGGTCAGGTTTCAGGATGAACCCCTCGGTATCGTGCCGGCGGGATAGTGTGGTGTACTGTAGGTCAATATATTTGTGACAAACGCGCCGGGCGTAGATTTCAACAAAGCGCAACACAAGAGTCTTTCTTTCTTCTCGTCCAGTATATGATGCATATGTGGGGGATTGTACGCTAACAAAGAAGCAACCGGTACGGCAGATACGGAGGCAATTTTGTTTGCACAGCCCTCTCGCGAGTTACAACTCGACTCGGTACATCAAACAGGGGACGGGATGTTGAATCATCAACTTCTCCTTCCCCGGAATCGACTGGCTCAACTGCGCATCCAATTACGACTGATTAGCACGAGACGCATGCATTGGTCAGTAGAAACGCCTTGCCACGCGCCAAGGGGCGTATTTGCCGATTTCCGCGGCTTCGATACGTCAGGATGATCGATGAGGCAGTGCCCCCCATTGAATCAACTTATACTACAGACGATCCGGTATAATGTTCCATCCACATATATTGGCGTATATTCCATTTCGCCTCTCGAAGCATCAGCAGTCTGCCTGGTGAGCCTGTGAGCACTAAGCCTTTTAAGGCCTCCAGGAATAAGATACAGATCGGAAGCTTGATGGCCTTTCCAGGAATTATCTGCACGGCACGCTGGTCCAACTTGGCAACAATGCTTAGAAGCCTTGATACCTGCAAGAGAAGCTCGGCGCAGTTGCGCCGAGTTACGGGAGGGTAGCCTTTGGGTATTTGAGAAAGCCATGATGGCGCACTGCAGGGCGAATTCTCCCTACTTGTTGATTCCACCACCGTGCTCGTTTTGTAATAGTACAATGTCGGAGAAGTCCTCTGTCCACTTCAAGTCAGGTCGCGACGAGTAGCTTCGTACCTATAGTGAAGTACAGTCAGTAAGGAAGCACGGGCACATAGGTTATTGGGACTGAGGGCCGTGCCCAAAACAGCGAGTTGATCACGTACCTCTTGCCTCTGAAAGCCCACACACCCCAGTTGCCACAACTAATGTCCTGGGGGTCAAGATCATTCAAGTCCCATCTCAAAGAGCGGAATCTGTTCTCCCCAGGTTCCATGAGGAGGTCGACTTCGCCCGCGCATTTCTCCATGACCCACTGCCAGTCGCGAGTCATATCCCACTCTGTATAACCTGTGCACAAGACAGGGATTTTGGTCTCCAACAGGCGAGGCAGAGTGTTTTCCCACTCCAATGAAGAGGCGGGGTGTCCTAGGCCAGGGTGGAACAACATGAAGCAGTCGAAATACGGGTCATAAGGATAGAATGCATTTGCTTCGTGCAGAGTGTGAAAATAGTCCACATAGGTGGTGATTTTCATCTTTGGCGAAACACGGTCTTCAACGATGGCACCAAATGGATTCTGAGATGTCCTCTCTGGCAAAGGAAACTCGGCGTCGCGATTCATCATGGACTCGGGTCCAATGAATATGAGATGTATGAGGGACTGGGGGAAAAGGTACGACAACTGCGTCCACACTTCGCGAGGTAGAGATGATTCGGCTCGTGCACCTAGGACGAATATCCGGACGGGCGGACTCGACAACCTAAGTCCTTTGATGTCTTTGCCTTGGCCGGTCTTGGGTGGATGCAAGGTGTACCGGAGTGCTGTCGGGGTCAGCATAGAGCAATGTGTTGAGCAAAAACGAAGACTCACCTGATAAACTCTTCAGTCCCTCTGGAGTCAACCTCCCGCCAGGCCTGATATTGTATGGGCTCAGCTCATGCAAAACACTCCCAATAGTGAGGGGATAAGTCAGCAACTTTGTGACTTGTCGCATGCTCCTCTCGTCGTTTACCGCTTCAAACTGTCGCGTGTAGAGAAAGGTATCCCAATTGGTCATATTCACTAAGGCTTCATCCATCTGCGGCCCGGGATACTCGAACTCGGGAAACCATCGTCCCGATCTCAAATCGTGGTCATCCTCGTTGATTTGTCTCAGCGTATCACATATTTCCAGGTGCGCCTCAAAGTCATCTGCCCAGTGTTCCTCCGAGCAGTACGTCGCGATGCCGCAGTCCGGGCACTCGAAGGAGACGTGAGCAGGAGGCTCCGTGCTCACGCCTTCGATTTTCCTCGCTTCGGGGTCGTGGGGTGAAGTCGGCACGCGAGTCTGTTGATGGACTGGATGTGGACACAATGCATGCTGCTTCATGAACCGCGCTCTTTGCCGGATCTCGGGGATGGGGGACCGGGAGAAAGGGTGGAAAAGGTTGCCTGGTCCAAGGACCACTCGGCCATGGGCACGCCACTCGCCGTAATCGGTAGGGGGGATATTGTGTCGTTCGAAGTTATCTGGTTCTTCTGCAGGAGCGGCAGCGGTAGATGCAGACCGCATCGTCCTTCTAGAGCTTCGGTTCTGCTCCATTCTCGATTGGTCTCGTGGGGTGTGCATCAACGAGGTGCTGGAGGTAAAGCTGCGTCGACCGGGGATTTGCTGGACGAACCTCGCATTTGGCCGTTGTCGAGCGACGCCCGAGAGTGCTCGCGCACATCTCAAGCAGGTGAACAAACCCTCCATTGGCTGGTGATGTGAGGTGAGTGTCAGGTCAACAGAAACAGATGCATCAGCCGCGCAATTAAGGGCAGGAGGAAAACGGAGCTTCGTCGCTTGTCACCAGATACACGCCAAGGTTTGGAAAACTACCTACTCGAAGCTCGCGCCCGATGCAGCAAGAGGGTGATGCTGCCCTTATTCAGTCCAGGTGGAGTCAAAGAACACCAATTGCAGTGGTTAGCTACCCCGGGGCACCAAAGACATCTATTAAATGAAACGCTAGTCCCTTAGAGGTATCTATTGAATCCCACTAAGCGGCACGAGTACGTTTTCTCTGTTTGATCCATAGTATATGTCCTCCTATGAGTAGTAGAACATCATGCTCCTCCATTTGAGTCACAGCGCCCGCGATCGAACGGCTTCCTTATCAGAGCGCCGCGCCTGGCCCCGTGCAGGAAAGGTCTAGCCTGCTGGCCAAAGTCTTTGCGTTCCGATCAACACAAGCGTTGAGCTACCTCAATCAGGCTGTGCTGAAACTTGTCCTTTGCAAAATGCATCTTGTGTTTAGACATGCAAACATTACGTGTCTGGACACGTCCTCGAGGCTCTGCCCATCTTCATCCAAAGAGGTCGACACAATGGACAAGAAATAAGTTGCAATCAACTGCGCCACTCCGAAGGTCCTTCGCATACAAAGCAAAGGCTCTGTCCCCAGGTCAATCCGTCGAAGAGGAAACACTCCCAGATTACGAGCCAGAGGAATTTCATCTGGTCAACACAGGCGGTGTGTTCAACGGAAAGTGCCAGGTGCCGGGCAAGCTTGGACTCGGAGTGTATCGTCGCTTTCTGCCCCATTCTGTAGTAGCAGTAAGGGTCGACTACATGTTGGACGCCACCTGTTTTGTCACTCGTCGAGAGCTGAATGGTGGCCTGGTGAGCATGTTAAAAGCAATACAAGACACAAATGACAACTTCTCCACCAACAATAATGGTACGAGGCGTCAATATTTGATTGGGAAACTGAAGCTTTCACATGTGAGAATCCAACTAAGAGCATGAGGTTTATAGAGATCCTGTATCTTGACTCAATTCTTTCTGCTGACTCCTGTCAAGACAATGTGCCGCGTCAACTACATTGTTTACCAATGCACGCACGAACAGTACCTTATTAATACCTTCCGACCGTGCGACGAAGACGGGTAAGACATATGCTGCGGTTTTGCCACTTCCTGTCTCAGCAAGGGTTACCAGGTCTCTTCCTTCTAGCGCCAGTGGAATAGCCTGTGCCTGGATAGATGTAGGTGCTCGATAGCCAAGAGAATCGCAGGCCTCGCATAGCGGCTCGATAACACCGAGATCTTGAAAAGTCAAGGGAGGGCTATTCGCAGCAGGTTGCCCGTGTTCAGGGGCAGGACTTTCGAGCAGATGGCCCGACGAGGTGTCCATATCTTGTCGGTGGCATGTGCAGGATTGTGGTAGCGCAGTTGATCTTGCGGAGTCTAGTGAATTAATTAGAGCCTAAAAGATCCACACAACATTAGTGAGAAATCTAACAGTCACGTGTATATGCTTGGCATTAGGCTCCAGCTCCAGCACTTTGAGCAAGGGCGCTGCTTTTAGCTGCACATCAAGAACAAGTGAGATACAATCGCCTGACATTATGACAAAAGGCTGGGTTTGATATCTAAACATGCTATCTTCCCAGTCATGCTTTTTATTCAACTCAAAATTCGCGCAAGATTAGGCCCTTATTCCGAGAGCGCTGAAATAACGCCAGACTGGTAGGAGTTACATAGAAAATACACGAAAAAATCCGCTGAAACGCTCACAACCCAAATTCCCGATGTCGTTCAGTTCGTCCGTCCCGTAACTCAAATCCGACGATGCAAAGCACGAGAACACTTATGAAACACCGGGCCTCTTCTTCCACACGACCGCAACCTTGACCAAAACCCTGCCGGTCTTGAACCGCCCCATGCCCGGAGGCCCGACCTTTTCAAACGCGCCCATAAATCCGGCAAACATCCAGTTCTTGTCCATGTTCTCGTCCAGGACATTGTCCCCCGGGTACAGCGCCTGCATGTCCATCTTATCCGGCAGTTTCGCTGTCACGCTGCTCTGTGCGGTCGCGTCGGGGTCCCACGCTTTGTGGATGAACACGGGCGTCACGCGTTTCGAGTCGTCGTTGAAATCGGCGGGGTTGGGGTCAGATAGGAGCTCGATGCCGGCAATGCGGTTGGCGCCGGGACGGTAGTAGACATTGACGCGGTTGATGGAAGAGGCACTGAGGCTGCGGTCTTCGATCTGTTTCCAGCGGTCCCCCGCAGGCTTGCACCCGACGTACATGTTGGCGAACATGGTCGCTCGTTCTTCTGCGCTGGCGTTCCTGACGCCCCCGGACTCCTCTGCCTCGACGGATTTGCAGTTGCGGTGGCAAATTGCCTTTTTGTTCGCGTACCCGAGTCCGATGCCGCTGATGGCGTTGTGACTGTCCCGGATACGCCGGCTGTGATACCACCCGGCGGTAAACGGCTGTACGGCGACTCGCTGGGGGTACTCTTCGTCGTCGAGGTCGAAATTTCCAATGGCGAAATGCTCATGACTCTTATACGGAGATAGGGGCTCTCCGATCACATCCCACGAGTAATTCAATGGGTCGTTCCTGACATGCTCGACGCCTTGTAAGTCGGCGATTTCCTTGTCTCGCCACTCGCTTCCACTGTTGTCAAATTTGGGGATGGGCAATATACTCTGAATGACGCCGGGGCAAATGTACTTTGGGAGGCTGTACACGTGCCGGCCTTGGTCGTCGTGTTTGGTGATTGACCTCGCGGGATCGACCACGAGCCCCGCGGCCTGCTCCTGGATGTAGATCATCGAAGAGCGACACAGCAGTCTCATCATGCTGAGCTTCTGCGGGTCCGGGTCCATGCTGGTGAGCTTGGGTGTTGGATCTCGGAGGATGACATCGAGGTTCATCAGTGCCCGGGTCTTCTTGTCTGTCCAGGCCTCTGACGTCGGGTCATCCATCTCCGACGTGCCAAAGTCGATGGTAGGTCGCCGTGTCGTCGCGATCGCATCTCCACTCTGCAGAGCCGCCTTTTGAATATCCTTTGAGGCTTTGTCGTCGTCACGGTTCCGAAAGTCCTGGGGGTCCTTGATCATGGCGTTTAGCTTCTCACACAAGTCTTGAAACGCCATGAAGTCTTCATACAGCGTGCTGGTGTAGATGGCACAGTGGTCATAGGTCAGCGGCAACGGGATCCGCGGATTCGACAGCCTGTGATCGTGGAAACTCTTCAGGGCCGTGTACGGGGTCAAGACGGCGCGGATCTTTGCGGGTTTCGCCGCCACCATCGACGGAAACGCATTGGCGATCAGGATCAGACTGTCCATGCCCCAAGGGAAGTCGTGGTTCTTGATCTGGCCGCCGCCGCGCCACTGGATGCGGATCGAGGTCGTGGCTTGAGAAAACAGCCGATTGCGTTCCTGCGAAGCATCCATTTCCCCCGAAGCTTGCACGGGGAGACCCATGGGGGTCAACTGCGCCGACGCATGGACGGCCAGTTGTCGAGAGTTCTTGCGGTCCTGCGACTTGATGCCAACCCAGGCGTAGATCTCGCCTCCCTCGACGAAGTCGGAGATGAAGCAGTCGCCGTAGATGCGGGTGAATTCGACGCTTCTGGAATGTGCATCCTTCATTACGCCTGGCTCCTTGTCGTCTCCGAGCGCTTCATTCAGTCCGGGGACCTCGTTGAACGACCATTCTTCCTTGCGATCGTCGGCCTCATTGACGACCTTGACGTGGACGAGGAAGTTGACGTCGTTGGTATTGAGGTCGTCCCGAGTGGCAAGGCTGCTTCGAGCCTCTGCTCCAGGACCCAAGCTGGTAGCTTTGATCGCGGCTGAAGCATTAAAGCCCATGGCATTGTTCATCTCCACAATGCTCTTGACCTGTTTCGACGAAAAGGTCACGGTCTGGTTATGCCGAGCGTTGGGATCGAGTTTGAGCAGGTACGGCAGTTTCGGCGGCTGTGGACTTTCGGGGGCACTGGTTTTCTTCAAGCTCTCGGTCAACGTCGCCAGGATGTCATTCATTTCGAGAGGTGGTTTCGGTGCCGACGCCGGCGCAGCTTTCGACACCGAATCACTTCTCGTGTGCTCAGGCGACAGGGTGTCGGCTTCGCTGATCGAGGCGCTCGTCCGCACTGGGTTCTCTGGAAACCGCGTGATTGTGACGGCATTGTCGATGCGCACTTCTTGGATGTAGGAATTATAGCCTTGGCCGCGCTTCATGCGCACATTGTACAGAGGTCCGCTGTCATCCATCTTGTCTCTGACAGTGTGTCAGTAAAGACAGCAAGAACAAGAGAGCCAGGAAGCCACATCTCGAGGAGCAACGGAGTTTTGAGGCAGCTCCTCCTAGCAGTACTCGGTACGTGTGCAAGTCTCCATTCAGCTACTTTTCACGTAAAGCCGTTGCGATCGCGAGCGATCTTCAACGGCCATACCGAGGATGGTGTTCGAAATCCGTGAACCGAATCATCTGCCCACACCGTTTTGACACAAGACCGTGCAGCTGAAATCGCCTAATTAGTCGACTGTTGACCGTGTTGGGTTGCGCTAATGCATCCAGGAGTTTAGGGAAGGGCTGCGATGAGACCCAGTGAGAGGGAGAGACGGGATCATGTCAAGCAATGCATGTGAGCAGCAGTGAAGAGAACCCTTTGATGTGAATGGAAGACCTGGAGCCTATCAATTTGTCCTCAAGCGAGTGTATGTCCCATGTCGTGTGCTCTTCAGCTTCAAATAAAGCTGAAAAGAACTCGCTCCCTCTCTTGTCTTGTTTGGCCTGGATGGTGTGGTGTAGGGACACAGGGGTCCTTAATTCGTTGACACCTCCCAGCCCTTTGCGGGGACTCTTGACAAAAATCCTCTGGGGATTTGGTGGACTTGGGTGAACTTGGTCCCCGTGTCCCCGTAGCGGTTGAGCGTCTGACGAGTGAGAGATGCAGGTGATCCACTGAGGGCGGGTTGCCCGGGCCGAGACAAGGTCATAACTGACATTCATCATTGTGTAAGAGGCGGTTGGGATCTATGCCTTGTTCTCGAGAACGGCGTTATTGCTGAGTTGCGTTGGAGGTGGTGGGCGAAATATGAATTGGTTTTGTACTCGACAATATGGTAAGATTCTATTCATGTCCATGGTGGCTGACGCCGGGACTTGTTGGAGCCCCCAACAAGCAAAAGGCGGGGGGCACTAGGGGCGCACAGTAGTTGACCGTTTTAACTATTATCAACGGGAAGTTTAGGATAAGCATCGCTTAGTGCAAATTTTATCTTGTTGAGAGGAGTCGGTAGAATATATATTTCTGCGGTTAGCTGAGCCCAATATCAGTCGGTATATTCCATCCTCTTTCTCTGCTGGGCTTGCTCATCGTGCTCCCGACTGCCAACCGCAGTTATTGCGACTCGCATCCAGCCTGCACGTCGGGTCTGGGTTCGAGTATTGAACTCGATGTCGAGGTTTCGCTGGTGGCCACGTCTTCAAGTGGCAGTCCCTTGTGTGGGGGACCAGATCGCCACCACCGCAGCTTCCACGAGACAGCAAATGCTGACACCAAATGAGGTAGAGCAGATGTCTTCTAGCCCCAAGCCCTCATGGAGGTGAATGCTCATCTTTCTCAGGAAGTCTTCCACCTCAGAGACCCATTGCTTCCCGTGTTCCTGCCCCAACGTGAACCGATGGCCAGGTTGTTAATTTAATCAAGCATGCAGAACAAAAGGTCTCTCCATATCTTACAAGAACTATGTTGTTGAAGCCCATCGAGTTTGTTTCTCAAAATGGCGTCGCTCTTCTCCAGTCAAGTGCTGTAATCCTCGCTGTCTTAATTGTGCAAACATCTGAAGCGCCTGGTCGTAGGTTTCATTCGAAGTCCATCCGTCACGGTGGACGAAGTCCTGTAGTGAGTCCCAGAATTCTGCTTCCTCGTTCCAGCCGTCCCCGTCTCGGTGATGTGCTTCCAACTCGTCTCCGGTGAAGCCTATCGGGCAGGGTATATGGCAGTTAATCTCGTCCCAGTGGCTGCCATTACGTGTTAGAACTGTCGATGAGTGTTGCGGTAGAACAAAAGAATTTGGGAGGAAAGTGGGGCGGGTTTACCGTGCGATACGAATAAGACATTGTCGAAAAGGTAAAATGTCCCCTTCCCATGTGTTCGATGCGAATTCAATCGTGTCACGTATCGTGCGCCATTGAGGCAGCTGAGACAGCTCGTGGAGAATCGGGTTACATTTCTTGGTTCCAGACTCGTATACCCAAAGGACAAGGGACCTTTCGACCTGAGTTCGAATGCGGGCCTTTTCTTCCTTGTCGACTAGAGTACCAAAATACTCGGGCAGTTTCAGCATGACTTCCCCATCATACCTGACAAGTCGTGGATGACGTGCTTGAAGGAGTAAAGGCCCAGCCCACACGTCTTGCCAGTCAATGAGGCTGGTTACTTTGCCATCATGAACGAAAAGGTTGGGGGCATGTATGTCCCAATGCCAGAGCGTGGATCTGACCAAATCCTGCTTTTTCGGTAGTAGCGAATCTGCAACAGCTAGAAACTTCTCATAGAGCGCAACATGGGAACTCGGAGTATTCTGCGCTCCGGAAACAGAAAATGAGCCGTGTGAAGGCTTCGGAGTAGCATACTGACGTATCCAGGAGATTTCGCGATCACCTATGGCCTTCAGGTAATCTTCAGGTTTCTTCCCTGTCGAGTGTCAGCAAATCGACTCAGTCCCAGCAGATGCAACTGACAAGGACCACGATCGATATCCATGGCGTCTCTGCCTTGACTCCAAAATCGTGTGTCAACAACGGGCCCAATGACAAAGCGTTTTGCTGTCTCTTCTCTCTCCGATTGCATAGCGTTGCCATCAATTTCGGCTTTCTCACAGCCGGGAAAGGCATCAGCCGCGAAGTAAAGATTCCCGTGACTAGACATGGTGTATCAGTCTGACGTTGCAATCAGCTCTTGCTCATCAGGACGTCTGACCGTGTAAATGAGATTGATAGGAGTTTCTTCTCAATGTCCACGATGTCGTCGACTATTTTGAGCTTGTCATGAATCTCCATGCCTTCCCACACCTTGTAGATAGGTGTTCCACTGGCTTCCTCCATCAGGATATATTCCGACCCCACGGGGTTCTTAGACGAACCACTCCATGCCAGAACCTTCGGGACTGGGATTTTGAGAATGGTGCGAGCCTGTAGAAATGAGTTGACATCAGCCACAGCAACTATATCTCCAAAGCCCGTGGGGTTTCTCGTACAAAGTCCATAGTTGCGACTTCTGAAGCAGTGGTTTTGAATGAAGGTCCCGCGTTGGGATTTGGTATACGTGCAATGACTACGGAATCATCGTCCATGACAAGCCGAAAGACTTTGTTGAACCCGCCTTCGGCCAGTTTTATCATAGACACGCAAGCCTGCGCTTCGACGCTCTTGGCCGCAAGGCGTTGGAGCTCCGGTACGTTGAACCGCTTGTACCGAGTCTGGAGCTGTTTCTCTTCGTCCCACAGCCAGCGGCCGCCCGAATAGCGGTAGAATGATTCATTGTCGGTGTCGCAAGAGGAATAAGACCGCGGTGCGGAGAGAGGGTGGGAAAGGCGGATGCCCCGTGCTGGTGAGGAAGGGCTGGTGGCGCACGGAACATCTCGTAGAGATCGCCTGGGTCTAATAATCAAGGAGGAGATGCGATTCCACCAACTCAAACTGAGAGGTTCATACATGACTTTGGCCTTATCATCGCATCCACTCTATCCCTATCGTCGTTGTAGACGCGGGTTGAAGCGTATGGTTGTGTATAAACTGACGAAAGGGGTATCGCACAAACAAACACAAAGATACAGTAGCAGAGAAGGTCCACCTATCAACGACTGCGATCGGTTCGGTGTGTCGTACTCGTATCGAGTCTCTGGCGTTACAAGGGAAAATCAGAGGTAGAATGATTGGGAGGACAGAGCCCAACGTCTGGATGGAATTGATCATTTCTAACAATCTGCATTGTTGCCTAGATTCCTTCCGGGTGTATGAGGCTCCGACGTTACACAAAGACCACAATAAAGGATCGCGCCTCGGACAGGTTGACACCGCCCAGACTCAACGGTCCCCATGCATCTCTAAGAGTCAATGTTCTATCCTCCCGCTGAACCAGGGATTGCTGCCGAGGACATGGCCGTACAATGTAGCTGCGACAGTTCTAAATTGCAGAAAATTCTTTCAAAAAGATTTGCGTCCTGGGGAAGCCACGTCGTGCGAGAGTTTCTACACTGAGAAGAACCTCGTCACGGCACTCGGCCTCCGCTCAGACCAGCTGGCGCGACGCTCCTGAAGATTCTTTGCATCGTTGGCTGCGATGATGTCCTCGCCCGTCTCGGGATGGGTCAGCATGGACTCGGTATGTGGCCAGAAGCGATTGAAGCCCCAGTAGAAGACGCCGGCGGCGACAAATGAGTAGACATAGCCGATTGCGAACCTGTTCAGGTTGGGTTTTGTCAGTCTAGTTCCAATGTATGATCATTACGGGAGGAAAAGAGAGCTATATGGACTCACAGGTGTTGACCGCCCAGAGAGACGCTTGTCGTGCCATGGCCTGCCACAACGATGTTGTTGACGAAACCGGGAAGTGGAGGAGTGCAGCCGATGAAGAAGGCGACAACCGCGCGCCAGTTGGTGGCAAATTTGGGCGAGTAGCGGTATATGCCGTGAAAGTTGTACATGTCGGGGACAGACACATTTCCACGACGGACGATGAAGTAGCTATGGCACGGAACAAACGAGTCAGCGGTGTTGGATATGACAAAGCGGAGGAACAGGTTGTGGGGTCCTGGGAGAGGTACGTACTCAGTCATGAGAATGGATGTCATGGGACCCAGGAAAATGGTGTAGCCACCCAGGAAAGCAAGGAATTTGGCGGCCGAAGCGAGGATTTTCCACTGTCGTTCTGGTCAGCAGGGTATTGAATAGCGTTTGCGAACGAGGAGTCTGGCTTACCGGCACAAAGGCCCAGCTTCCAATGACGGCAGCAAGCAGCTGACCACGGCGGATGTTGATGTACTTGGGGCAGAAAGACATGAGATCGTTGGCTGCGCTGATAGAGTTGGCCGAGATGTTGATACCGAGGGTGACGATGATCAGGCCGATGGCGCCAAATGCGGCAGCAGCGCGGCCACGGTGAGAACCAGACTCCATCCAAAGGTGGAGGATTTCAATGGGGTTCCAAATGATTTCGCCATAGGCACTCTGAGCAGCAGCGGCAGTGAAGATGCCAAGCAGACCAACGACAGCTATGATTCCATATGATTAGCAGACTGTTGTGGAATGGTGTAGTGACCAACATACTGAAGATGGCGGGAATGACCAGCGCTTGCACGTTCTGTGCGCTGGGTTTGTTGGCGTATCTCGAAAAGTCGGCAATGTTCAAACCCAAGGTGGCGTAGTTGCCCAAGACTCCATTGAGGTCTGCAGGAAAGGTTCTGGTCAGAGGACGCGGGTTCGCTTGTGAAGGTAGAGCATCACTTACTGCCGAAGAAGGCCCAGGCAAGAGTCGAACCGCTGATAGTGGTGCCTTGGGTAATGACCGTGCTATTACTGATGGTGCCGCCGGCCTTGTGCAGCGTATCGCCGAAAATAGCCAAAAAGATGATGGGGGCGATAATACTCTTGAATGCAAAGAAGTATTGGACCTGATCGGAGTTAGTCAGTCACTGAATCAAGGGGATTTGGCTGCAAGATCATACCTTCGTGTAAGGAATGCACAGGAAGGGAAGTTGAAGTAAGAAGTAGAGCAAAAAGGCCACCATCCCCGCCGTAGTGATACCTTCATCAGCGGGTATGTGATTGGGTATCCGGGCAAAGCTAGGCCAGATGGCTGTGAGGAGCACTTCCATACATTGACCACCAGTCGTGGTTTGGACACTGTCCGCAGTTAGCATCCTGAGGCGCTGATTTCTGGGTCGAACAAACTGACCCGAGCCATACAATGGCGAGGACGCAACGGGATAGGACGACAAAGTAGCTGAAGTAGTAGCCAAACGGCATGCGTGAGAGCACAGGAAACGGTGTGTGAAGCTGTTCTGAATCAGCTCGGCGCCATCATTCGAAGGAGCACACCACCCACAATTGCACCCATTCTACCATTGACGGTAATGACGAGACCCATGATGGTGTTACCCAGCACACAGGCGCCAATTGCCATTTTCCAGCTGAGACCGACGGCGATCATAGAAGAAGCTGCATCATCAATCGTTCAGAATCAGAGCCCTCTCAAATGCAGCAGAATAGCAGCCTTGTCAAAGGATGGCTCACCAACTTCCCAGTTCGACACAGCCCAGGCGTCGGCCATCCAGTAGGCGACATATGCGCCCCAATTCCATGTGCGCTTTGATGGTGGAATCGGGTCAAAGTCAGCATTGGAGGCGCTCGCCGTGGGCGCAAAGCTGCTCTCCTCATGACGGACGGCAAGGGTGAAGCGCGGTAGACGTCTCTTGAAGCCAGTCACGCGACCAACTCCAACGGGCTCGACGGCCGTAGGCTCGACGGCGGAAGAGATGTCCTTCTCGTAGTAGTTTTTCTCGTCGTAGGTCGCCATGGTGGTAGAGCCTGTGTGGTACACAATAATCTCGAGGCAGGCGAGATGATGAAGGGAATAATGACAATATTAATGAAGTATTGGCTCCCCCGAACGTGCCCGACCAAATATTTCGGAAGGGATCCCTGTGACGTTTGGATCGCCGCCCGCATTTCAGCTCGAGCCGTGTTCTACTGATAAGCACCAGAAGCCTCGCCTAGCGGCCCTCAGATTGGACTGTCAAGACCAAGACCGCCAATGTCATTCCAAGATAAGAGCCAATAGCCAAGCTGGACAACGGCATCGAATGGGGTAAAGATCTTTGCCCCAAGAAGTTGCTTTTTCGGAGGCACGGCACAAGAGGGTCTAGATGGCCTTGACACGTAAAATGTGCGCCACACAATCGAGGTTGTAGCCATTCAGGCCAGCCGAACTCAGATTTAGGCATGTGCAAGCCAAACAAGGGCCGGCCACTAGAGTCAAAGCGCTGCAACGCTTATAACTACCTAGGTAGAATTATCAGGGAGTGATACTTGGACGTAGGTAAGCCTGGGCTAACTTATCTTGTAGGACAGCCATGATAATCTGGAGGCGCACCACGATAAGCGAGAGTTGGGAGATAAGGTGAAAAACGTAAGTTGGTTGACTCAATTCTTCAATGCCAGTGGCCAGCAAGAACCGAGTATCTCGTCTGTTATGCCAAAAGCAAGTATCATCTCACCTGTCAAACGATGGCGTTGTAACCAGGGTCAAGAGTGGGAGGCCAGTTCTCTTCCAAGCATTTACGGGCGATGGAACCGAACACGAGGCATTTCTTTTGTGGCTTCGGATACGTCTTGGATGATAAGGACGGCTCAAGTTGCTTTTTACCACGTTGTTTAGCGAGGTTCTGTTCCAAAAAAAAAAAGGGTGAGAGACTTTCTTGTATAGCGAATACTTCAATATGTGCTGGCATGTATGGACATTCACAAAATATCGACAGTGACATAGCAAGTGGCCAAGACGCTTATTCCCAACAAAGCTTAGTTCGTGGCCCGGCCAACTTTCCCCAAACAAGCTTTCATAGCCCCAGACCCTCACTGAAGACTGAGGATGCAGTCAACTTGCCAAAGGCTCATTTCTTCCGTCTCATCCCTCGTGGACGTGTCGTGAAAGCCCTACAATTATAGTTATGTTACCGGTAAGCAGTGGCGTGGATGACAGTCCGCAGAATGCGGGTCCCTCCGGGCGCCATTCCAAATGAAATGATGCCACCCTCGACAAGTCAGACGCTGGTCAGGCTGGTCAGGCTGGGCAATCCTACCCTGAACGCCTCGTCCGCGATCTCTCCTAGGAGCCTCACCGCACGTCCGATCAGCATATCCGCAGGATACGCATGGCTTCGATCAATACATCAAATCCTCTGAGGACAGGCCTGGAGTATCTTGTGGAGCGGCTACTTTGCAACTCCGCGTAGAAGTTCATGGTTGATTGCAGACACTGCTATGACTACTTTATCGCCACCCACAGACTGATCCTACAAATGCATTGTGTGCAGCGTAATCCTGTCCTGCACAGCTTACCGACCTCATCTCTAACCGAACCACACAGCTCTGTGGTTAAAATCAAGGTCAATATTCATTCGGTTGAGCATGAAAATTTGAAGAGAAGGGCAAGGCGTATATCTGTGCTGGAGGGACTTGGACAAAGCCTCGCGGACGGTATCTCACGTAAATTTGTTGCCTGATGGTTGTCGGATCGGGCTAATTCGCCGGTTCCACAGTCGAAAGAACACTGTCGGGTTATTCATGGGCAACATGCCACTTTGCAACGCACCCGCTTTGAGATGCAACGGGAAGCCTGACAATGTTGCCGGGCTCACATCTCCAAGCGACGTGCTTTGATTGCCTGGAGAGTCGAGCAGCCCCGAACCCAAGGCTGCCGGGCAGCATATCGAGCAGTTCCTATGGAATGCCGCGATGAGAATGACGCTCGTATTCTACTTGGCATCAATGTCGGTTGACGAGCTGACTTCCCTCCATTCGTCTAGGCCTTTGATCGTCTCTTCGCATTTCCCACGGATGATCCTATAAGCATCCGCGCCCAAAGCCAGCCTCAATGGGATCTCCTTGCCAGATGCACCCGTCAAAACATCAACAATCACCTTGGCCCCTTTTGCGGGATCGCCCGGTTGGTTCTGGTTTGTCCGCTCCACGCGTTCCTCTGTCCTCCGGACAGCTGTGGTGTCGTAGTCTGGTATGTGATTGACGTGAAGGATCTTGTGGCCACTGCTTAGGAAGTTTGATCGAAAGTAGCCCGGTTCGATGCTGCAGACTTTGATGTTGAACTCGGCCAGCTCGAGATGCAGTGTCTCGGTGACGCCGCTGACGGCCCATTTCGAAGCCTCGTAGATGCCGACGGCGGGTGTGCCGCGCCATGCTCCGATGCTGGAGAAATTGGCAATCACGCCTGATCGTTTCGCGCGCATATATGGGAGAATCGACCTCGTCACGTTCAACGGGCCAAAGACGTTTGTTGCGAACTGAGCTTGAGTTTCCTCCGGCCTTATGGACGTCAGCATAAACACACATGTCTACCAGGTATCGCTTTGCGCATGAAGGGAAACTATACGTGAGCTCTTCCAAGCCGCCGACTTGACAATACCCGGCGTTGTTGATGAGGTAGTCGATCCGCCCATAGAGCCCGTGGGCCTCTTCTGCAATCGCCTTCAACTTATCGAGGGGCCACGTGACGTCGAGACTCATAGTATCAGCTCCGGCAGTTTTGAGCTCGTCGAGCTTCGCGGCATTTCGTGCAGAGGCAATGACCTTGTCACCACGACGGAGGACCTCGAGGGTCAAGGCCTTTCCGAACCCCGAAGATGTGCCCGTGATGAACCAGACTTTGAAATTTGACATGTTGGTTTCCACACCTACGTGAGCAACAAAGGTGTAGACTGGTCTCTCAAAAGATATTTAAGCTGAGCGAAAGGTATCAGAGCAGGAACAGTGATTTGATTGATGTATTTCTTCTCAAAAGATTGCAGAGAAGGAGAGAAAGAGAAAGTACGTCAATCTCCCGGGCACGGAAAGGGCTGTCGCTTTTTATCCTTTCAGCATGTGGTGAGCTTTGCCTTTACTTGGTCTGTCTTGCATTTACACAAAATATCCACCAGACCAGGGGTTGTTCAGAAAGCCTACTTCTGTCACCCCATCTGGCAAATCTGACGGAGTGGTGCCTGATTTTAAAGCCTGCGCTGGAATTGGTGTTGAAATACCTACTCCTGGTTAAAAACAAAAGCATGAAGAGGAGGGAACAGGTCTCATGATTTCTGTGGACCATGAGTCGCCGCCATTGATGGCGGAAAATGATAACTTCGACCTCTGTCCAAGTTTTATTGGGCAGGCGAAACTTCATTGGACAACACGACGACTGAAAAAGGGAATGCGAGGGAGGCTAAGGTATAGTATGATATACATCATGTAATCAATGTGGACCCTTTCCCGCAGCGACGACACCATGATACCCAGGAAACGATGGAGTGACTGACGGGGATTTCTACAAACTCCAACGGGACTTTACAGAAACCGGAACTTGTGCGGCCGCACCGGCTGCGTGTGTTTGTGTGCGCGTGCACGACGATGTCGTATCCCATATGTCAACCCGGAGGTGACGGCTAAGGAACTGCAGCTTCACTGAAGGGGTAGGATCTCCAGATCATGAGATGGGAGTTGATATAGGAAAACCTGGTGGGGGAAAGCGGAATAGATTGTGGAGTTGAGCACATCTAATATACGCTGTCGATATTCGGTAGGTATCCAACTCTGTCCTAGATGATCCTGAACTCAGCTACTAACCGCTCACTCGCGTGAAGTTGAAAGAGTGCTAACGGTCGTCAGGGTGAATCTGTCTTGTCCTCTCCGTGTCCATCAACCTGGCGCGTCGAATGTGTAACCACATGCTCTGGTTGAACAAGGATGTCAAAAAGGATGTCGAAAATAATTCCACCCCCGCAAATCCTCGGCTCGGGTGTCCACCAGCTCCGACTCCAAATCCCCATGTCGAGCAAGGCTTTGCGTCACCCTGCGCTACACTGTTCTCTCTCAGAAACTGACCATGATCACAGTCGCCGTTGCGGGAGCGACTGGGGGCGTGGGCCGCTCGATACTGGATCATGTTGAACAGAGCCACAAATTCAGGGTCATCGTCCTGACTCGCAAGGCATCAGAAGCTTCCGTGTCTGAGGCGGGAACTAGATACCTTCATGTCGACTACGACGATGTGGAAGGGCTTGCTGACATACTAACGACACACAATGTCCACACCGTCGTCTCGACTATCGGCATCAGCTCCCCAGACACGAGCGCGGCTCAGTGTAATCTGATCAGAGCTGCAGACAAGTCGGGCGCGACGAAGCGTCTGATACCGAGCGAATTTTGGGCGAAGACGGTTCCCGAGTACGTCCATCTTGACTCTTGACCTGGAGTCCTCTTCCCCTGTCTTCGCCGCCACTCGAAGTCTTCAACGGACGGGAACTAATTCTCACGGGGTCGCTCTCCTCAGCCTCCTACCTCTAGACCCCACCGTGCAGTGGTGGCTCGATGCCGCGTCACTGCTCGAGTCCAGCTCATTGCAGTACACGAGGATTTCCTGCGGCTGGTTTATGGACTGTAAGTTGAGCTGCACTGTTCTGCTCGCTCCCTCCCGCAAAGTCTGGCCAGTCGGGGAGTGAGTGCTCAAGGAAGACTAGGCAAAGAACTCACATCTGACGATTCTGCAGATTGGGGAATGCCACACGTCAAAACTCACTTATCGGACTACTCCTGGGCGATAGACGTGTTTAATCGCAAGGCAGCCATACCGGGAGACGGAGCCAATGTTCTCAGCTTGACTCTGATTGGCGACGTGGCTCGAGCGATTCTGTTGTTGCTGGAAGCCGAGGACTGGCCAGAATGGACGTTCGCAGTGGGCGATAGCGTTACGTTCCACGAGTTCGTGAGCATCGCCAAAAGAGTACGAGGTCAGTTCACAGCCTACTCGCTCTCCCTCACAGCCAGCAATACGGCTCTGGTTGGAAGACCCCCTTGTGCTGATCACCGACATATGAACCTGTCTGCAATATATTGACATTGACGCCTTTGGCAAAAAACAGGAGGCGCCCTTTTTGAAATCACACACGATACCCTCGACGACCTGAACCAAGGCAAAGTGACGATCCTGCCGAACCCAGGTTCCGCAGCGTGGGACGCGTCGCCCTCCGAAACTGCAGCGAGAAAGGAGTCCTTGATCCTATTCGGCAAGCTCTACGTCTCCGGAGTGTGGGATCTGTCCAAAGAGCCGCAGTTTTCGACGCGGTGTCCGGAATGGAGACCCAAGAAGCTGGGGCAGTTCTTGGAGGAGGTTTGGCTGGGTAGACCGTGAGCGGTTTACTTTACAAGATGCTCTACCTACGCGGTACACGAGGTACATCTTGGTGTTTGTGGTCAAGATACCTATGTATGGTTTCCTGGTGGGGATGCAGAAAATTGACCTCGAACCACGTGTGGGTAAGGAGTCATTCGCGAAAATCGGGTCTCTATAACTACTCGGTAGACGATAGATGGTGGATGCTAGCCAAAATGCAGGTGATACTATATGAGGTTTCCACCGTAGGTATTGGGAGTGACACACCGATGATCTGCATAGGTATTTGGAGTCATGTACTCGTTCTCTGGCGGCTCCAAAGAGAAACTTTCCCGACGCCTAAATAAATGTTTCTTGGCAAACTTGTGGTCCTTCACAGTTTGAAAAATCGTACGTATAATTATCATCGCTTCACTTCACTTCATTTCCTCTTCCACTTATCACAAACAACGAAACTCCCAAATAAAATGAATCCCATTTCCTTTTGCTCGTCCTTTCTCTCCCACATTCAGAGACATAGTTCCTCTCGCCGAAATAGGTGATATATGAGATCATGAGATCTACACGTATCGTCGAATGTCGGGCGCTTCACAGTACCTCAGTTCTTCTCCTTCTCCTTCTCCTTCCACATCAACCCAGAAACCCTGCTTCTGGCTCAGGCTCAACGCAACAAATCACTTTCCAGCTGCTTGCATCCTCCCCACAAGCTCTTCGCTCGCCGAAGTCACAGTCTACAGGATTCCGCGTCATGCGGACTTGTACGGCCAGAGCTGGTGGAATTTATCCTTTCACACTATTTTCCGTTGCAAGAACAAATGTATTATTTGGACCTTCATAGTTCAACCTGTCCCTGTCTGCACATTGGATTGGTTGACTCCTTGCGTGCCTACATTATATATACATCCACCCGCCTCTCCAGTTCTACTGGTACATCCACGTTGTACATGAGCAGAGCACGCTGTCTCTAAAAGCATAAAAGCATAAAATCGTCAGGTCATGTCTTCAATCGTTTCGCTCTGAACGCTGCAATAATAAAAAAGTGGCCCTCCCAAGCCTTGACCTTGACAGGTAGGTAGCCTATCCGCCACCAGCCTTCATGTTACCGAGCTGAGTGTTCTGCAACAAAGCTGCCACAGCCTCGGCCGAGTATCCAAAGAAGACGGGCCCATTAAAGATGATTTGGGTTCGGGGTTCTCTGCTCTCAACCGTGTCATCTGTCTGTCTCTTCGGCGGAGATGGCTTCTGACTTTGCTCATGCGGATCATCATGGCGAGACGGCGCCGGAGGAGCTTCGGAACTCGCAGCGTGAACCTTCAGATGTGCCACATCATCTTCCTCCAAGGCACTGGGTGTGGGTTCTTTGTCCGGGGGTACTGAGATCCCCCATGGCCGACTAGGGGATTCGCCGACCCGGACTTCTCGCAGTGGTTTATCAAAGTGTGATATTCGCGGTTCTTCATCAGCGACCACGCCATTCTGAGCTTGAGCTGGAGCGACAGGGGCAACTTCGCTGACAGTCTCGGCCCATTTCTCTACTGCCTGAGTCGACTGTTCTTCGATCCTGTCTCGCTCGGGTAGATATGCTTTATGTTTTACTCCCAGGCCTTGAATCATGTTCACCAAATTGCCATACTTGGCGTCCAACTGTCGGGCACTGCTTTCGTTGCCCTGATATCGTCGCACGCAGATTTCGTGACTTCGGGGAATTTCGTGCTTGTGATTCTCAACGTATTTTGCAATTTCTTCCGGAGAGTGTTGATCGAGGAAACGGATAGGGCATTGACCCGGGCGTTGTTCTGTATTTGGTGAACGTGCTGAATGGGTGTCTTGGTGGAATTCTGCCGCTATAGGATCATCGTGAGCGGACGAGGTAGGTCCATTGCGCAGCTTCGCAAAGGGACATCCCAATGTCCCCTTGACACCAGGAGTCGTAAAATCTCGTTCAAGATCCTCGGGGTCACGATTCCGGTGAGCTATTGGACATCGTGCCCCGTTGGTCTGAGGTCCGTGTATCTTGGACATCTTGTAGGTTTGTATGGCTTGCTGGGCTTCGCGGACTGGCCGGGAGAATTCGACGTCTGTGTCGATGGGAGGAAGTTGGCGGAATTTGCGGACGGCTTCGCTCGGTGCAATGGAGGAGGCCGAGAGAGTGCTGTCGGCAGCTAGGACCTTGTCATACTGCAAGGATTCAATCAGCACTTCTCATCCCATTCTCACGGACGATGAAAACAGTAATCGGGTGTCTCTGCAATTCAGGTAATACATGCAATATGTCGCTCATCGCTACAAAATGGTTGCAGCTCTTGATCTAGAGCTAATCAAAAGATTCTCATCATAACGCAGTCTGGAAGGGAACAGAAGGCGCGAGGAACCGACTCACCTCATTTGCCGCAAACTCGAGCCTCTCCTTCAAGGCCTTCTCGTTCTCGATGTGCGCACGCACGCCGGATAGCAGGGCATCAAATCCAGAAATCAAGGCGTCGATGATTGCCGAGAGATTGGGGTCTGTAGGAGGTCCGTTCATCGGAGTCGAAGACGTGATTAGAAAGGGGTGATCTAGTGGAATGACTTCTTGGACGGGCACAAGTTGTGCAAAGGCACCAGCAAAAATAAGATGCCGAGCAGGTTGAAATCGGAGCAGGACGCGGCAGCCAAGAGAAGTTTCCAGTTAAAACAGCCAGAGAGCTTTTCCTGATTAGGGCAGAACACCACGCCGCCGCCTCGTGTGACTGCAGAGTACATTATCTATCGCTGTCCCTGATCTCCAGTTCCCCTTCCATGCTCTTCAGGCCTATCCTTCTCAGAATGTTGATCTTGTATCTCAACCCGTTTCTGCCGTCGTAGCCGCCTGAGGCTCGCAAAGGAGACAATGCTATGCTCCGACTTTGGATTTGATCCACGCGAGTCCTCCACTACCAGCGGTCATAGCGAATCCGGCGACCTGAACCACCCCGTTGACGATGGCGAGACCTGAGCCCGCGGCACCCGCACTCTGAGCAATCGCGAAAGCGCTACCGGCTGCAACATTTCCAATTCCAGCCTGCATTGTGGCAGCCGTGGTACCTTTGTGGTAACGGGCGTGAGTAAGTATTGTGATTTGCCGACACGGGGTGCTTTTGCTCTGATTTCAACGTACCTGCAACAACACCACCAGCTCCAAAACCCAACTCGGCGAGTACTGGGACAACGACGACACCGGGAGCCGCAATGAGGATGATGCCGACAGTCCCGACAGCGCCGCAAGCAGCCAGCCCCGGATTCTGGACGGTCCATGCAGCGGCCTAGTGGTTTACAATATTGGTCAGCGATATGTGACAGCACAAAATTGGTATGTTTACACGACGACCTACTGCGGCGGCAGCTTTGGGTCCATGATCTCTAATGGCTTTTGCCGTGGATTTACTCGCTGTGAGCGCAAGTTGGCTCCCCTCTCGTACTAGAGCTGGCGCAGACATGATGGCGGCTGTATGTTTGATATGATGATGGTTCTGTTGACGAGGAGAGTGAGATGCTCGAGGGACTGTTTGATGAAATTGTGAGAGGCTATGTGTGATTGAGGCTGAACAACGCAGCGCAATGCAAGGTGCGGCAGGTAGGCAGACAACCAACCGCCAAGGTGTCGTGAATTCTGCGCGCGGTGTTTCGTAAACGGTCTCAGCCTTAGTACTTTGGGTCAGATATGGAACATACGTTTTCAATTCACTGGCAGTCCTACTTCAATCTTGTGGACGCAGCGGCAGAGAGATACACGCGTGGGATGAAACCGGAGTCAAAAGCGCCTCAGCCCATCCTCTTAAAAGTACAGCCTCACCTGGCCCGACCTAGCAAATGACATGTCAACCTGTACAGCATTTATGAGCGAATCAATAGGACCCCAATGTACAGGGTGTTGATACAGGGCCAGGTCTCTGGCGACCCCTCGTCCCCTCATTGGGCTGGCTGCAGCACGGCCTCGTCTGCCACGTTGCCAATGCCTGATTGTGTGGTTTCCTTTTCAGCGTGCAGAACCCTTGTCGCACCATTTCTGTATATGAGGCTTAATCCTCCGTCTCAAATATTCCTTGGATTCGAAAGCGCATGCTGAAGTGATCCAATTTTCGTTCCATCATCTTTATACGGCCGGTCAAACATCCACTTACGATGTACACAAGATAGAGTGTTGTCGAAAAGTCCTTGTTTGTATATGCCGAGGGTTCTTGAGTGTTTTCATTGGCCGATATGGCATGCCTAGGCATACTCACACTGGAATGCCCTCCAGATTCGCCGGCCTCCACAACCGAGGCTCCTGTTGGGTCAAATCAATGGGGGGCCAAACTCGGGCTAGCAATGAAATACTGGCACAAACACACCATGACATCCTGCCTTATCTCCAGTTTTAATTGTGATCTCAGATCTAGATTCTTGTGATATTTCCATTCCCCACCGTCACCTTCCCACCATGAAAGCGATCCAAGTCTCGAAATACGTCTCGGAACCGCGAGAGCTCACCGTGACGACGCTCCCGACGCCCTCCCCGCACCCAACAAAATACCTGATCAAGATCCGCGCCTGCGGCACAAACTTCTTCGACATCCTCCAGGTCCAGGGGAAATACCAGCACCAGCCACCGCTGCCATGGATCGGCGGCCAGGAGTTCGCGGGCGTCGTGATCGCGACGCCCACGACCCGTGAGGGTTCCAAGAGCGCGGTCGCGAGCAGCCTCGACGGCACGGTCAGCACACAGACGAACCACAAGTTCAAGGTCGGGGACAGGGTGTTTGGGGCCACGCACGGCGCATACTCAAGCCACCTTTTGGTGTCCGAGGACGCCATGTTCCCGATCCCTCCGGGCTGGAGCTTTGTCGATGCCGCGGGCGTGTATGTCACGGCCCCGACGTCTTTCGGTGGCCTCGTTATCCGCGCCAACGTCAAGGCGGGTGACTGGGTTCTCGTGCATGCCGGCGCTGGAGGTGTCGGACTGGCGGCAGTACAGATTGCGAAGGCGTACGGTGCCACCGTTATCGCCACAGCTGGGTCGGAGCGCAAGAGGCAGGTCTGCATGGACTATGGAGCTGACTACGTGGTCGACTATCGAGACGGGACTTGGCCTCAGAAAGTGGTTGCGCTGTGCGAGCAGCACCGAACAGGCAACGGGAAGAAAGGGGTGGACATTGTATATGATCCCGTCGGTAGGTGGTGTTTTCTTCTTTTTTTCCTCGTAGATCATTTCGTGCACACTCACACACATGGGGTCCTCCGCTGACACTGCTCCGCACAATCGCAGGCATGATCGACCCCTCCATCAAATGCATAGCGTGGAACGGCCGACTCCTCGTCATCGGATTCGCCGGAGGCACCATCGAGAAGGTGGCCATGAACCGGGTCCTGCTCAAGAATATCAGCATTGTAGGACTGCACTGGGGGGAATACAGAAACAAAGAGCCGGAAGCAATACAAGAAGCCTGGAAGGGCATTTTCGAACTGATCAACTCGGGCAAACTGAGGGGCATGACCTTCACCGACAAGCGGTACAACGGTCTAGAAGAGGTTCCCAAGGCCCTGACGGACTTGGGTGCGCGCGACACATGGGGCAAGGTGGTTGTCGAGCTGGACGAACACTACGGAGAGGACAGCAGGAGCAAGCTATGAACATATTGTGCGCACATTCAGAGAGTTTATACGGGTTGGTCGTTGTCCCAAGGATCGGATTGGTTTCTATAAAGCACCCTAGAAAACCGTGGCGTTTCTTGTAAAAAGAAAAAGATGAAACTTTTTTTTCCATTGAGCTCGCCCATCCCATTCGGGAGAGGGGGCTTTGTACAGTTTTTCTCGCCAAAGGTGGTTGGTTTCCCTTAGTCCAAGGCGTCCCATGCGTTCATTGAACAGCGATGGCCTCGATCTCGACGTCGACACTCTTGGGCAGTTCCCGCACGGCAACGCAAGTCCTCGCCGGCTTGTGCGAGAAGTACTTCTCATACACGGCGTTCATCTCTCCAAAGTGCTTCATGTCGGATATGAAGACCTATTGTGTTTCACGACGATCAGCTTTTCTTTCTGTAGTTCGTGGCCATCGTGGGAAACATCGGCATAGGTATTGTATAGCTACTCACCCCGGCCCTGACGACCTTGCCCAACTCGCTCCCGCCAGCTTCCAAGATCGCCTTGATGTTCTTGCAACACTGCTCCGTCTGGTTTGCAATGGAACCCCCGACGAGCTTTCCAGTCGAGTCCGCGGGGATCTGACCTGCTACCCAGATCTGCCCGGCGGCTTTGATGGCCTGGCTGTACGGGCCCGCAGCTGGAATTCGAAAGAATTAGCGGGTTAGTTATCGTCTATCGTCTCGTTGCAATCTCAAACGTCACGCGTTCACATGAAATGACTTGGAACGGGTCTCTCTTACGAGGGCAGGCATCCTTGGAGAACACAGTAGTCAATCCGGACGACATTTTGGCGGGGTAGTTTTGGAAACGGCGATGTTGCTGCTGTCGACAGAGCAATGAGTGAGGGATGACGAGAGGCTTTATATGTCGCGGAGAAGGGTTCAGACGAAGCAAGATACCGCGACAGGATGTGGACATGGATGTGAGGCAGTGGGGGGGAAGTCCGCGAAGGGCGTGATATTCCGATCGCTGAGTTTTTGTAAATCGACAATCATCCGTGTTTCGGCGCTGATATGTTCTGAGGGACTCTTGACGTCAGTCAGAAAGTAGTTAATGCACGAGTGGCCCATTCGGGTGCCAATGTGGCTGATTATCCTTTTGTCAGACAGCGATATTTTGCCCCGCGCTATGAAACTCCCACTCTGCTGACTACTAGTACAACAACACAACAACACAACCACCATCATCAATGGCTCGCAGTTTCCCGGTACAAGGATCTGTTGATGTCTTGAGTAAGCTCCACAAGTCCACAGCGATAGCCTTGCCGCTGCTCTAAACTCGTGTTGCTGCCCTGTTACAGTTACATTGGGACTGCCCGCTCCCTACAGACGGACGATGATTAGACATCCCCACAATAGCACTGTTTGTCTTGGTCATCAGTATGTCTCAAGGCGTATAGAGAGAGGCTGGTCGGACAAAAAACACCTACAGGGATAGTCCTTGGGAATAACTTGCATTTGGATATCACATGCATTATCCGGCTGAGAGCTATGGCCGCTGTCCGCCAAAGACCCCCGGACCGGTACTCAAAAGATCCTATCATCTAGGTACAGTGACTTTGAGAAACAAGAGAAGTACCACCACGGTCCAAAGCGGCCAAACATTTCTCAGAAACTTTTTCCATCGGGTAATCAAACATATATCTCTATACGGGACAGGTGTTGTGGCCGAGTGGTATCCGGGTGCACATCTCATAGTGCCATGGGACTGGCTTGCTGCTCTGGGTCCATCAGAGATGCATCTCCAAAGCTGGTGCCCCTTTACGCCAGGTGCTGACAATGTTCCTTGACGTATACGCCCCCCAATGGTAATTTTCGCTGGCTTCATGGACTCAGGCGATCCTTCCGACTCGGTATTTAGGCAGATTTCCGCGGAACGGGATCCCTGCCCTTTCAATCATCGATGACATGAAGCTGGAGACTTCAGCATGGTCTTCCTTTTAGTTCGATCTCAGGTCATGCACGCTGAGTAATTCCGTCATCTGGCTCTCTTACCCTGTCGACTTTGACTTGCGCCCTACAAGCCCAACTCTTTCAATATCTTTTCGTTATGCTCGCCGACTTCTGGGACTTTGTCCATCCTGGCATGTAAACCCTCCACATCCTCCCCTTCGGGAACGCATCCGGGAGGCAAAAGTGCAGGGATCATGCCCTTGGACGTCTCGACCTCGGTCCACCGCCGTCTGGCTTGCAATTGGGGATGCTCCCAAACGCCCTGCATCGTGTTCACCGCTGCGTTTGCAATCTGGGCTTCATCGAGCTTTGCGACGGCTTCGGACACGGAATATTTCTCCAGGGCTTTGCAAATGATACTTCGCAGTTCGTCTCTGTTCTGTACACGCAACGAGTTGTTCATGAAGCGTGCGTCGGTCGCTAAACCCGGATTTCCCAAGACAATGTCGCAGAATTTTGCAAACTCTCGTTCGTTCTGAATCCCGAGCATGACTGACCCGCCATCGCCCGTCTCGAAGGGCCCGTATGGGTATATCGCTGCATGGGAAGCGCCAGTCGGTGTGGGCGCCGGTGCGCCTTTGTAAGTGTAATATAACGGGAAGCTCATCCACTCCACCAGACTTTCGAGCAAAGAGATGTCAATCTTGCTTCCCTTGCCGGTCTTCTGCCGCTGCATCAACGCGGCCAGGATGTTGCTGTAGGCATACATTCCGGCCGAGATATCGGCAATGGAAATGCCCACCTTGGCGGGCTCGTCCTTGGTGCCCGTGACTGAGAGCATCCCTCCCTCGCTCTGCACGAGCAAGTCGTACGCTTTTTTCTTCGCGTAGGGCCCGTCCTGGCCGTAGCCGGAGATGTCGCAGACGATCAGGCCGGGATGGGTATCTTTGAGAGATTCATAGCTGAGACCCAGCCGCGCGGACGCGCCGGGAGCCAGGTTCTGTACGAGCACGTCGGTCTTTTGGAGAAGTTTCTTCAACACGTCCAAGTCGCCGGGTTTCTTGAGATCCAGCGCCAGACTCTCCTTTGAGCGGTTCGTCCAGACGAAATGGGACGCGAGCCCGTCGACCCGCGTGTCGTAGTCTCGTGCAAAATCGCCCACCCCGGGTCTCTCGACCTTGATGACGCGCGCGCCGAGGTCGGCGAGCTGCCTGGTGCAGAACGGCGCAGCGATGGCTTGTTCGATGCTGACGACTGTGATTCCATCAAGCGGTCTTGTCGCTTTGGCTCCGCTTTTGGCTGAAGCTGGAGTCGTTGATGTGAAGCGACGTTGACCGCCAGCGGTGCATGGCCTGGAGTTTCTCGCAGGCGACGAGAAAAGATGTGAACGGTCGCCTTGAACGTTTCTTAGTGGCCGCCCATTCAACACCACTCTGGAACCCCGAAGGGCTGAAGCAAGAGCAAAGCCTCTAGATCGCACCGGATTCAACATTCTTTGTACCCTCCTACTCCACGCCTGTCGGTAAGTCAATGGTCAAGATCGGCTGAGAAACTCGGTTACAAGAGTGAGCTTCAAAATGAGAAGAAAACCGAGAACGAAAGAGCAAAAAAGCCACTGTAAGCAGATCTCGAGAAGGACCTCGTCGGGCACAAATAGGGAGAAAAAGACTCTTTGTTGCGGAAAGTCAGCGACGAAGAACAGCGGCAGTAATCTCGGAAACCCATATGATGGAGCTGGCTGCCCCTTTGCGAGATCCGGTGCCGAGGCACCAAAGGCTTCGACATGGCCAATCAGCATCTTGAAAGCGATGGATCCGCCCGTCTCGAAACTCCGTTATCGGTCGGCGGGTCGATGCCGAGTCGAATTTTCGAGAGATGTCTCTCGGAGGATACATACATACATACAAACTTCATCATAAATGGATGGCTGGCTCTTTTTCCCAACGTCGTACCATATCGATTGCTACGCTGTACGAACTTTTGTGATTCTCTGTGTCCTTTCTCCCTTCCGTCCTTTTTATTCACAGTGAGAGTTATTGGTTCCTTTGTCCTCAGGCTGTAAGTCAGCGAGGCAACAGACAGTCAGGCAGGCGGGCAGGCGGGCAGGGAGACGAGCTAGGCCTCGAAGATCCGCTCAGAAGTCTCAAATTAAAGCATGGTTTGTTTCGATTCCATAAGAAGCAGTAGGTATTACACAGCAGATGAGTTCCGTAGTCAGCGACGAATATGGCGCATTTCCGCAGCGGTGATAGATACAGAACATGAGGGTGTGTGCGCGCGCGAGTCCGTGGGTCTCTCTGTCTCCCCTCTCGTATGTGTTCACACAAACTACACCCCGGTAGTCTTGCTCACATCGTCCTCGTCAATTGACGTGACATGTTCGGCCGTCCCTTTGTTCGGGTCGGCACCATCCTCCTTCTCCCAGACCTCGAGGTCTTGGTTCTTCTCGCTGTCGCCGCTGCCACTGCCCTTTGCGTCGTCGCCGGGCTTGTATATTTGGCGCCGACGATGGGGCGCATTGCATACAGTATCGCTATTAGGGAGTTGTTAGCTGTCTCGGTCAAGGTTCCGCGGATGTTTCACTTCTGTCGGCTGGAAGGAAAAAAAAACAACAACAACGGGAGAGGTGGTTGGATTTGGTATGCACTTACAAAATGTCGTCCCGAGATCTGCGTCGTTGGTCTCCATCTGCACAAGCAGACTGGGCATGATTTCCAGAATGCCTGCAGGGAAAGAAGCAAACACGGAGGGCACGGCGGCGCGACCCAGGCTGTTTGGGGTACAAGATGCCATGGCTCCAATGAAAGCCAACACGATGGACATGAGGAAGATGAGCTGGAATCGGATATGTTTCAGGATCGCGACCAATAGATGCCCAAAGCGATGGTTGTCTGTTCATCCCTCCAGTGTCAGCTGCACATCCAGCCTTTTATATCAGGGTTCATCTTGTGAAAAAACTCACCAATGACCACGCGGTGGTCTGCCAGCTGGTTGTAGGAGAGCTATAGAGCCATTGGACCTCTTGGTCGACCCGTCAGATTGAAAGCCCTTACTCGCCGTGGTCGGAACTTACGTGATGGCCAGATAATGCTAAGCGCGACATAGGCGGTCCCTGCCACAGACTCGATAATGATCAGACAGACGAATCCGCGGAGATCTTTGAAGAAATGGACCGGGACGATTGGGTTTGGATAGGGTCTATAGACCTCTATGAGTGCAATTTGTTAGCATTGATCGCAGTGAATATGTCATAGGGCTAACTTGCCCCCAGAAGACGAATACGATGACCACGCAACCTCCAGTGATGATAAGTCCTAGAATAGTTCCGGAGGTCCACGACAAAGGCTGACCACCCAGAAAGTGTCAGTCAAACGAAGAGTAAACCACCAATTTATACTGACCCCATGAGACGCCCAATAGAAAGAGCACGAGGCCGGCAACAATCAGGAAGCATCCCAGGAGGCTGGACATTCACAGTATGTCTTTCTCCCTTCTCCATTGAGCCCGCTCACTCTTGAAAACACGATTCTCACTTTATCCCCCAACAGAGTGGGTACAGCGCGGCGGCATAGTTGGACGCGGCGTCCTCGTCGACTACCATGGCTGGCGCCAACAGACCGGAAACCCCCCGTCACCATCCCTGCGGCCACCGTCATCACCACGGAGGAGGTGGAATCGGTGCTGAAGCATCAAAAGACGCACCTGCGCGACGGGGACATCCTCATTCTCCGCACGGGATTCACCGACTGGCATGTCCACGCCAGTATCGAGGAGCAAGAAGCCGCTTCGAAAATGGGCGCATTCATCGGCCTCGAAGCCACAGAAGAGAGTGCCAAGTGGATCTGGAATCACTATTTCGCTGCCGTGGCGACCGACACGCTCGGGTTCGAGGTCACCCCGATCCCGTTTCTCGAACCCGGCGCCGTGCGGCTCCACGAGTGGCTTCTTGTCCACTGGGGCACGCCGATCGGCGAACTGTGGGATCTCGAGCGCCTAGCAGAGGTCTGTCGAGAGCGCCGACGGTGGTCCTTTTTCCTGACCAGCGCGCCTCTTCATGTGGTTGGCGGGGTCGGCACGCCACCCAATGTCATTGCGACTCTCTAGGTGTGGGGAAACAGTCATAGGTATCTACAATGCTACATGCTGTAAAATGAATGCATGGACTCAACGTTTCGCTCATTTGCCAAAAAAAGAACGTATATGGGTTTCCATGCTACAGGGAAGAGCGAGAAGGGATGCCAATCAGTGAAATTTCTTCCTTTGTGACTCTCCGTACGATTCTATGTCTGGACTATCTCTCCGTGAGGTGGAGTGGTTCACAGGGCTCTTAGTGCCTGTATGATACTCTATGCACGGCGGGCTTTGGCCACATTCACCCGTCGTCCGTCCATTAAATCGACTGTATCGCTCGGACTCGGTTCGCCATTGCATTAACAGTCGCAGAGATATCTTTGGCCACCAGATCAAAGCCGTGGGGCACACCTGGATATACATGGAGCTCAGTCTGGATATTGGCGGCCGCGATGCGGCGGGCGTATTCGATGTCCTCGTCACGGAATATATCCAAGTCTCCCACGTCAATGTAAGTCGGCGGGAGGCCTTCGACCGATGGTACGCGTGCCGCCGCAGCATAGTACGGAACGTCTGGTGCGCCTGCTTTGCCGCTCAGGTATGCCTGCCAGCCAGTGATGTTGTCATCGGTGGTCCAGGTTGCAAATGGCTCCAGCGCTTTGATGGGCTTGGTGTTGCGATCGTCCACCATGGGATACACTAGGATCTGCTTGGCCAGAGGCGGACTCAGCCCTTCGTCTCTGGCCTTCAATCCAAGACCCGCTGCGAGACCGCCGCCGCCACTGTCGCCCATGATGGCAATGCGAGCCGGGTCAACACCGTATTTTGTGGCGTTGCGGCTCAAATCCTGTAACCCGGCCCAGATGTCTTCGATGGGCAGGGGATAAGGTGCTTCGGGCGCGAGTCTGAAATCTGGGGTGAAGATCTGGACGCCGGACCGGGAGACAAGGTCCTTGATCTTCTTACGGTAGATGGCCACGTCCATGGCGATGAACCCCCCGCCGTGCACATAGTAGACGGCTGATACTGAGCCCGTAGTAGGCGTGCCCTTTTTGATGAAGCGATAGATGGGGACTTCGAAGCCGTCGCTAGACTTGACGTGATATTTCTCCTCGGCGACCTCGTCTGGGTCGGGATACGCGTGGTACACTGGGCCGAAGAAGATGTCCAGCGCCTGGCGCCTTCCCGCGACATCTCCTACAGCAACCTTCGGGGCATTTGCCAGGGTGGGGAGCAATGGCTCCAACACTTTGGCGAACTCAGGATCCAGCGCAAGAGGCATGTTGGCTGCGATTGTATAGTCGTGTCGATGTTTGAGTGGGTGAAGCCTTCTTTCTCCTCAGACGTTTTTGAGGCCGTGGAAGATTACCCCGTGTGACGGGCACCCAAGCGGGGAAGATGGACCTTACCGAGAAGGGGTGCCTCTAGCTTGTGCCTCGATGAGGTGATTCGGCTGCGGCCTTCGATCGCCGCAAAAAGATCGAGGGGAACCCGTTTACTTCCTACAATAATGGGAAGAACTAACACGAGTTCCAAGACTTAGCTGGCCAGCTCGGCCGAACTCGGTTCAACACTAGGAAATTATTGTGAAATATCGGACACCGGAGGCTTAGGACTGTATTGTTATCCGCAAAATTCCTAAATGCCAGAGACCCTGTCCAATACAGATAGTTCAAGTGTGTAACAGAATGTCTCTCAATTATTCTTTGCCTGAGCTGGATATGGTTTGTACATCAATTGCACGAAGGTGTCGAAAGACTCAATTAAAAGACCAAAAGGTGGTGACAGGACAAGATCATGCGGTCCTTGAGGACCGTAATCACGTTTCGAGACTTCAGCCTTCCTCTTCCCGGGCGAAGACGGTGGGATGGTGAAATCGAGACTCCACCGAAGACGTTCCGCTTCTTCTTCCTAGAATAGTTAGACCCAGGAAGCCGGGTCACGTGGCGGGGTCAGACTTGATCAGTTCAGCCCTTCAGCGAAGGGTGCTCTAGGAGCTTCACTAGGGGTCCTGTATAGCTGGAAAGGCGAGGTAACTATAGTGTCCTTTGTCTATATGCCGGAAATACACCGAACAAGGAGGGAAACATCCCCTTGTGTGAGAGAGGAAAGGACGACGGACTCTTCTTCGCTATCTACCTCCTTTGAGAGGAGCCTTATCCAAAGCTCCGAACAGCGATCAGTCAGACCTCTGGCTGGGTGGCTGGGGGTGGATGGGGATCCAGAACTCGAGGAGGAACGGCTGCCATCTGCCACTTGAGGACCGGGATATTGAAAACAGCATTCCATCCCGTCAGGTGACCATGTGTCTCAACCAGTGGCAGACACTGCTAAGAGAAGCTCTTCTCGGCGCAGTCCGCTAAGTATTTTGTTCTCAGATTTATATTGCCATGCATTTGGAACCCGGTCTATGATGATTCTTCTGATCTATGATCACAAGTCGCTGTGTTATGGACACCTGTGATCTGGATTTTCTCAGGGTGTGAAGATCCTCTCCACAAAGACGCCGATCACGATCACGACCGCGACCACGGTAGCTGTGTCCAAGATGATTTCGAAACTGATCATCCGCCGCATTGGGAGCGTCTCGTCCACGACGGGCGACAACCCGCACGCCATGGCCCGGATGGTCCAACACGGCAATGTCGACGTGATCATTGGGGACTGGTTTTCGGAGATGAAAATTGCCTGGAATGCCATCGCGAAGCAGCAGAGCCACGATCTGGGCTATGAGAGGGGCATCTCCTTCAAGATGCAACTTAAAATGTGTCTAGAAAAGAGATGTGTTTTCAATTAGTTTCTCTGACGGACGACATGTCGTATCCATGTCCATTTCCCTTCAACAGCGTGGCAATAGGTAATGATTCAACAGACGCTGTAACATATTCACGATATTGTGTTGCCGCCAGTCTCATGCCCTGCCCTAGAAAACCACTTGCTGAGTTGATATGATCCGAACGTCCAGGTGATCCATTCTCAGACCCATTTCGACCACGTCTATCAACCTCCGCAGCGTATATCATGGCCAGGCCGCTTCTTGCCGATGCCAGTGAACGTCCGACTCTGCCAATCACGCCTCAGGGACATGATTGTCTCGAGCGAGCGAGTCGCGATGTTGAAGTACGACATCTCCCCGAGGGCGCTGTAGCAAAGAGAGATGTTTTCGTGGGCCTGCATGCCCTTGTCTCTCGAGTAGATGCAGCAATTGTGGACGTGGATCATGGCCGCGGTCAGGATGATGGAGACGATCTGCGGATGCATGAATCGCATCCCCCACTGGTGGCGGTACATGACCAGCAGTCGACAGATGGCCGTGGCCGAAGCCTCGCAAATCTCGGCGCTGTCTTTGAGCATGCCGTCGTGCGATGTGTTTGGGACTGACGGCGAGATGAACGGCCGGCGAAGCATGATCATGACTTCGTGGAATTGCATACTACTCCACGCCATAAAAGGTGAGTGAGGTTGTCATGGGGTTAAGGGGGGAACGGGGAGAGTGAAGATTGTTGACTACAGGAGTATGAAACGAAGACAAAGGGCGTGCGTGGTGCAGTGTCAACTTACTGAAGCACCAAGACAGCTGGCAATGTAGGCTTATTTTTGTCAAACGACGGGTCGATCTTCAGCTTCTCTGGCAGGCTTTGGTGCCAACTTTGAAGTTCCCGCGTCATGTTGTCCACGAAGAAGAAGGTCGTGTCTGTAAGCGTAGTGTGCAAGCCCGAGTACCTGGTAAGAACGGAACTATTAGTTTTTCATTGTCTTTATTAGAGTTAAAAGAAGAGGAGGGAGGGCCCAAGTACAGGATTTTGGACATCTTCCGGATCTTGCTGCATAGCTGTACGAGATATAGATGTGTCTCGCCCACGGCGGAGGGGTCTAGGCTTTTGTCAAGATTCAAGACACCGTTGTGGTCCATATAAGGCTTCCAGGGCACTGTCGTGACCGGCTGGGGAACTGGGACGGAAACATCCTCGTAGCGCATCGAACATGGCCGGCCGCTATAGACACTCCACAAGCTGATAAGACAAAAACAAAAGTAAGTCGGTTTGGCGAGAACCATGAGATCGGAGAGTGGAGGACACCTACGTATCGAGAGCCTGCGTTGACCAGAATATAGTCCGACGCAGGTTGGTGTGCTCTTCCGACTCCTTTTTCGAATCGAAAGTAGCGTCTAGATCGAGATGCAGTCCCAGGTCCGACAGGAGTTGGACCGCCATTCCTAAATACAGCCAGCCGCGAGAGTCCCGCGCGTATGCCGCCTCGTGGGCCGACAAAGTGCCCAAGGCTTGTACAGTAGCCATGCATGGACTGTCCATCTCAATCTCGAGCAGTGTCTTTGCCCGGTACGCGAAGAACTCTGGTGGGTCGTCGACACCGGGAAGTCTTTGGCTGGAGTAGGAGGCGCCCACGGCCAGAACGGCGTTTTCTAACGTGGGGGAGAAGTATGCTGTTGGCACACCCGCCCGGTACAGTGCTCGGTGGTGGTAGTACATGGTCTCATTGACAATATTGAGCAGTGAGTTATGCCACGCAAAGAACAGCTTGGTGAGATGCTCTTCGTATGTAGGGTCGCTTTTCCACTGCAATCCTGCCCGCGCAAGGTCCGTCTCTCCATGAGAAGCTATCGTGCGTATGTTTGGCTGGAAACAATAGACCAAGGGATTTTGTGTGAGGTGAAGGTTGCTGGTCGCCCCATAGTATCTTCGGAGACCGTCCTCGGCGAGGCGTAACCGGCCGAAGCGACTGATTAGCTGCTCGGTTGCATCGTTTTCAATCCGTTGCGAGTCCCTGATAGTATCTGGTAGACCGCCGGCTGACACAACATGGCTTGCGGAGCTCTCGTTCGACCGTCGATTGCTACTCTGCTCGTTCCTGGCACCGGGTATCTTGGCACCTCCAAGACCAGGGAGTGTTTCAAATTGCTCTGAAAACGGTCCAGGTGCTATGGCCTTGGATAGCGCGTCAATCGACAGAGGTGCAAGTACTGACGTACTCTTGTCCGGTTCAATATCTATATCAGAGCCTGTCATCTCCAACCAGAGTCCTAACGTGTCCACATCTTCATTGTGGCCGGCGTCTGAGCAGTTGAGGAGTTCTGCGTCAGCCACATCCATGTCCTGAGCACAACCCGATAGCAGGAAATTCTGCAGGACATCCTCTTGACTATCAGCCAGGGGTGTGTAAGTGTTGGCCACGAGTGTAGTTCCTGGGCTCGAATTCTGTGTAGTGCTGGATTGCTGACTATCAGTCAGATTCCGAGCGGCGATGCTCTTGACGGGCCTGGTTGCATTGGAGGAAGACCTGTGACAGGCAGCCTGTAAGAGCGATAACCCAAGATGTAGCAGCATCATACTAACCTCCGACGATCTTCGCCAATCACGCAGTCGATATTGCGGGAGGTGCAGTTGGAGCAACGTGGGTGGCCGTTATTGCACTACCCAACATCAGACGCCGAGGCCTTTTCAGAACTCGGGATTTGGACACAGGGGCATGGTGCACATGCGAACATGCTCTGGAGACTTGCCTTGATTTTGGACTTACGGCATGCGAGGCATGCGTGTGGGGAGTATTTCCGTTTTGCTGGCTCATTCCGAGTCGGGGGTATGCCGTTGAATGGATTTGAAGACTGCATACTTATCCAATGAGGACAAGAAGAGGCTGGCGGAGTATGGAAATGACAGCTTTAATCCGAGCTGGAACTGGACAAGAGAACACTCTACAACATCCACGACACGGAATTCGAAGCTCAGACGTATCGCGAGCTGTTCATAACCCTCCTGGGGTACTGTACGGCGAGCCGGGTTTAAAGGACCGAAAATGACCCTGTAGGAGCTCTAGACTCTTCGGAGAGCGGAGGATTGGAGGAAAATGCGGGGGAATAATATCCATTACCCGTCTTACCGTGGTTGTACCGGGGTATACAACGCCAAGAATCTTCAGCATCCCGGCATCGAGTCTACACAATACCTAGAAGCAAATACTTTTATACTAGGCACGAAAGTTCCCTCGCTCATATACCTTTGTGAGCGTGTCTGCGAGGCTCACCTGGTAGAGACATTACACTTGTCTGCAACACCCGGTGGACTTCCCTGATTTGCTACACTACAGGGTATACAGATGGCCAATCATAGAGCTTTAAAAGAAAGATAAAAGTGGAGTCTTCCTCCTAGAGTAATAAAATCGATCGGTCGGAGAACAAAGACAGGCACAATCCCCTGCATATCAGACTTAGGAGGCTGCACAACTACTCTGCGATACTTGCTTGATAAATTCCAGCGGACTGATGCTTACCTCCCCGGGCGCAATACTGACGTTTCTTTGGACCTCCTCACAGGATCGGGATTCGAAATAAAATTCCGATCCGGCGACGTGCTAATCCACTTTTGGATTTCCGTGCCAAGTCTCCTGCGTTTTGCCCCGCCTTAAACACTTGGTCCAAGGTAAAGGACCTCTCTTGGATGCTGATATGGATGGCGGCGCCTGTTACACGTCTTTCGACTTGAGATCTTTGCAATTGGGTGTCCTTATGCCCAGATCCCCAGCAGGCTTGTCAGCCGATTCGCTTGCGGACCCTATGTCATTAGCTCCTAGGGCGAATTGTTACAGCCGGATTTCCCTTGCTCATTTTCACTCTATATACCTGCAAACCGGCGGCTCAATAAATATCTGCGCGCTTCGCAGGCTACCGTGACACCAAAGCAAGTAGGCCAAGCAGATTGGAAACCAATGCGCGTGTGGCATTCGATTCGACACTAGTCCTACTCCCACATGATCAACTACAAACACTCGTCTGCCGCAATGTTACACTGAAACCCTTCTGCGAGGACTGAATGTCAGGCGAAGCATAGGCAGTTATATGCTTCTCTGCTGAACGACTGTTCAGACTTCCTGGTCAGGGCGCGTGGAGTGACACTATGCCTAGCTCTCACGGTCCAACGTTTGAGTGTGCGAGGCCGAACTTATACCTAGCGAAGCCGAGAACCGATAAAGGGCGGCATATTCGCCGTCTCCTTGTTGCAAATCGTGGTGAAATAGCCTGCAGGGTCGTGGCTACGGCACAGGCTCTCGGTATCGCCTGCATCGTCGTCTACACAGAGGAGGATCGTGACAGCTTGCACGCAAGTGTTGGACAGGAAGCTGTATGCCTTGGGCATGCGTCTCAAGGGCAGCAGAGCCCGTACCAGGACATAAATTTACTAATCCGGACAGCCCTCGATGTCAGTGCTGATGCGGTTCACCCTGGATACGGCTATCTCAGCGAAAATGCTGGGTTTGCTAGAGCCATTGTGGCCGCTGGCTTGATCTGGGTTGGGCCTTCCCCTGAATCCATTTTGGCATTGGGAGACAAGCGCGAAGCTAAGAAGTTCCTGCTCAAGAATGTGCCTGAGGCTCCTTTGATCCCAGGATACAATGGCTCGAGCCAAGATGAGGCGATATTGGCCGCAGAGGCGGAAAGAATTGGCTATCCCATCCTGATCAAAGCTGCCGCCGGAGGAGGAGGTCGTGGAATGAGAATAGTGCACCACGCAGGGGACCTCCACGAAGAACTCAACCGTGCCCAGTCCGAAGCTCTACGCTCCTTCGGCTCTTCGGATTGCTTGCTGGAGAAGTACATCGAGCATGGGAAGCACATCGAAATCCAGATCGTGGGAGACGCGAGCGGCGACGTCTTGTCGTTGTATGAGCGAGAGTGTTCCATCCAAAGAAGGCATCAGAAAGTTGTTGAAGAGGCGCCCTCCCCGTGGCTTCCAGATACAGTCCGGACCAAAATGGTGAAAACAGCCCAATTGATTGCCAAATCGATGGCGTATGAAAACGCTGGCACGGTGGAGTTCATGGTTGATGTCCGAACGGGTGCATTCTACTTCCTGGAAGTCAATACCAGGATCCAAGTCGAACACCCAATCACGGAGATGACCACAGGGGTTGACATCGTGGCCCTACAGCTCTACATTGCTTCGGGGGGTCTTTTAGCGGAAGACGATACTCTCAGGGATGGAATCCAATCAACTTTCGGCCACGCAATCGAATGTCGTCTCTGCGCTGAGGATCCCGGGAAAGATTTCCTACCTGATTCCGGTCTCATCCTTCGCTGGACTCCAGGGACAGAGTTTCTCGAGCATTCTGAACGACAGGGCGTGCGGTTCGAGACGGCACTGCAGACGGGTGCGAAGGTTAGTGTCTTTTTCGACTCTATGATCGCAAAGATCGTGGTGTGGGCAGCTACCCGCCAGGAAGCAATTTCAAAGATGCTCAATGTTCTTAAACACACGGTCTGCATCGGAGTCAAGACCAACCAGCATTTTCTGCAGCAATGCCTGCTACAATCGGACTTTGTCGATGGGACTTACTCAACCCAATTCATCTCCCAGCATGGGCTGGACTTGCTCCATTTTGTGCTCCCGGAGTCTTTCTCAGATCACGCGATGCGAGCGAGCATTGTGCCTACTCTTCTGGCACGACGTGTGACTCCCGAGCGGCGATACCGGCCCTTCAGCAGCATTCGTACCGGATTCCGCAATCAGGTCCATGACCAGAGTAACAGGCTGACAGATATCGTGTCTGTCCAGAGCGTGGCGACGAGGCCCGCTGATGATGCGGAGTTGTTTTTCTACATCAACTGGCTTCAGGGAGGCAACTCCGCAGACCGTGACCTGTACAATATTCAGCCTTTCAGCATTCAAGACCCAACGTTAGAAGCTAAGAAAAGTCGACAAGATGGCGAGAGCGACAGTGCTCCCTTCATCAGATACTTTCGGCAGATCTTTGCGAACATGTCGGACAGCCAGGAGTCGGCGTCACCCCTAACTCACAAAGTGCGTGTGGTACAGTCCTCATACCATAAAACCGTGGAGAACACCACAGCCACTGGGTCAAACAAACCCGGTAGGTTGGAGTGGGAAATTTCAGACCTCGTCGTTGAGAATGACAATAGAAGACAATCCTATTATGTTGCGACCAGCCCTCTAAGCGGGACGGCCGTTGATGAAAGACGACCACGTCGTCTGTACTGCCACATCCCAGCGCTAGGCACCAGCATAATGCTCGAGCAGTATTCAATGCTCTCTTTTGCAGAGTCTCTTCGGCAGTATTTTAGGGGCAGGGACGCCCTGGACTCGGATCCAGAGCGAACATACAAGGCTCTCATGCCGTGCAAAGTACTCAGGGTGATGAAGCAGAATGGCGAGGCTGTCAAAGTTGGCGACGTGCTTCTGATCGTTGAGTCGATGAAGATGGAAATGAAGGTCTCGGCCATGGCAGATGGGCTATTCCGGTCAACGTTGGCCACGGGCGATGCTGTCGAGGAAGACTCTGTTCTATGTCAGGTTCTACAAGAAGGACCTGTAGGTGATCAGGGCGGTCAGGGCGGGCAGTAGTGGGCGACTGTCTTGGGTTAAATCGCACATACATATATTAAGAAGCCTCTAGAGAAATTTACAAGAAAGGGGAGATGACTTCGAAACAAGGCCTTCTTCTTCTTCTGTATCAAAGGCTGTGACATTCTCAGGTGGCTTTGTGATTACAGTTCCATACAACGAGTGTCACAGTCTCACATTGACCATCATAACACGAGCGGGGTAATGGATGTCAAAGAATTGCGAGACACGCATGGCTGTATAATGCCGACCATCTGCCGTGTCTCGACTAGTCAAGAGTCAGGCACTGTCGATCAGCATTGCGACGAAGAAGGATTCCGCATCCGCCCCGGAGCTATTTCCGATCAATCAATTCACGCTACCTTGTCCACTCACAGTTGAGACTAGAAGACCAGCGCACCTTTTTCCAAGCTGTGGGAAGTGGGAAGCCTTCTGTTACGCAAAGAGCGGGAAGGGGATCATGTCGACCTCAACTACAACACCACACGTGGTTGGTTCCTTCCCCCAGGTCACGACAAAGGTCAATAAAAGATCAAAGGACTTCTTGGAGAATGTCAAGCGGTGGGAGCCGATCCTGGAAACATATCAAAATGCCCTTCGAGCGAGTTCCTCCGAGGGCAGCGCAAACAGCGTGTTGAAACACACAAGCCGGGGACAGCTGCGAGGTATGGATTCCACGCCCGTCTGCCTGGAAGAAAATGGATCTGTTGACGTGCCCTGTGCGACAGCGCGTGAGCGAGTGGCTCTTCTCCTCGATGAAGACTCGCCATTCCTGGAACTACAGCCATTCGCCGGCTATGAGAATCCAGATTCCTCCCCTGCTGCGAGTCTGATAACGGGCATTGGCCTGATCAAGTACGAACATCCAGCCAATTTAATTGTTACCTGAAGCGCCCAGGACAAGTGCTGATGTAACGAATATAGCAATGTTCCGACGATGATAATAGCTCATATCCCGTCTTTGAAAGGTGGTGCGTGGAACTATTTCACCGGTGAGCATACCAAATACAGTCCTTTCTTCCAGTCTTTAATCCCCTGACTCACGATTTCTGCCAGTTCAAAAACAGAATCGGGCCACAAATGTCGCCACGAAGAACAACCTTCCCATCGTCGCACTCGTCCACTCGGTAAGTCGCAAGGAGAGTCCATTCGAGTTGGTCTGGACATGTGCTGAGTCCTCCTTCTATTCATGTCTAGGCGGGCATCTATCTGCCCCTTCAATTCCACGTCTTTCCGTATGGAGGAAAGCTATTTCGAGACCTCTCCGTCCGCACCAGAAAAGGCCACCAGTCGTGCGCGGTAGTGTTTGGAGGCTCGACGGCCGGGGGAGCCTATCATCCCGCACTGTCCGACTACACGATATTTGTCAAAGGTCAGGCCAATGTCTTCCTCGGGGGCCCGCCGTTGGTCAAAATGGCGACAGGGGAGACGGTGGATGCAGAGGACCTCGGAGGCGCCGAAATGCATGCTACGGTTACAGGGCTGGCGGACCAGTTGGCTGTCGATGAGTACGAAACATCCCGTCATCTTGTTATACCTCCTTCGATGTCGAACAAGGGCTGGAAACTAACAAAGCCGCCACCACGTTGGTGTAGATTTGATGCAATCCGCAAAGCCAGAGAATGGGTCCTGACGACCACGGCAGCGAGACTCGTCGGTCGATACAGTCAACCTGAGGTGCCTCCACGGCCGCCGCTCTATGACCCCGAGGAGTTGTATGGGATCGTGAATCCCGACATTCGTCAGCCGCTGGACATGATGGAAGTCCTCCTACGGATTGTCGACGATGCGCGGCTGGAGTCTTTCAAACCGTTATGGGGCAAGGCGATGATAACAGCTTGGGCATATATTCACGGTATGTATATTGAGAGGTCTCGTCAGAGCTACACAAATATGGCATCTAGAATCTCTTTCCTATACCTTGTACCATTGAGCTAATTTTGCCACGATGCTGGTGGCTCGTACTAGGACATTTGACGGGAATTATCGCCAACCAGCGACCGATAATCAGTCCAGACGAATCGGATAAATCGACACAATTCGTCCATCTGTGCAATCAAATGTAAGAAGTCTATCGACTCTCTCTAAGATGATTTCGCGGGAACTGACCATTGTTGTGACTACTTGCAGGAAAGTCCCCATAATCTTCCTCCACAACGTGACGGGGTTCATGGTAGGCTTAAAAGCTGAGCGGGCAGGCCTGATCAAGAAAGGCGCCAAGTTCGTGAGTGCCATCAGCACCAGCCTCGTTCCGCACATCAGCGTCCTCGTCGGCGCATCCTACGGGGCCGGCAACTACGCCATGTGTGGACGGGCCTTCAAGCCACGATTCCTGTTCGCGTGGCCCAACAGCCGCTGCTCGGCCATGGGGCCCGAACAACTGTCCGGCGTCATGGAGAGCATCACGCGGACCTCTGCCGAGCGGTCGTCCCGACCGGTCAACGAGGCGGACCTGTCCGCGCAGACGGAGGAGCTCAAGGCCCGGGTGGACCGCGATTCGACCGCGTACAGATACTCGTCGTACCTGCACGACGACGGCATCATCGACCCGCGAGACACGAGAGACGTCCTGGGAATGTGTCTGGAGGTGGTGAAGAATACCCTGATCACGCCAAATCCAGGTTCGATGAATCTGGCAAGGATATAGGGATATGACGAGGCATGTCTGGATGTTTTGACCGGCATGGCCCTAAATGTTGTTGAGAACACGGGAGGGGGTTATCTATAAGTTGCTGTCTATGAGTATTATGTCTATCTATTTGGACACTCCGGCTATAGGTCCAGGCACGTATTTCAACGGGTTGAAGTCCCGGACTTTACGCAACGATATACATCGCTTGTATACCAAAATACCTACGACTACCTTTATACCGCCGGTCTTCGTTGATGCCAATGTGGCCATATAATTGACTTGAGAATTTTGGGGCTTCTGAGATGCTCACGATCCATGTGTATCAGAATCCAATCTCGAGGAGGTTCGCCGGATAAATTTAGGATCTGGAAAGCTCGGTTCTTAGCAGATGTGGCTCGGCTTTGGGACAAATCCGATCATCCTACATAATACGGCAATGGATTCGCGGAAATCTACATTTTGAGCGCGCGCATTGGCCACGGCGGTTTGGCCCAGAACCGCACCAACACAATTATTTGTACTTTATCCAGCATGGGCAAGAGGCTCTCATGAGATCCAATAGCTCCTTGAACAATATGATAGACCGTCCAGCCGTACGCATCGTCGAAGTCGGTCCCCGTGACGGGCTACAAGCGATCGAGGAGATCGTGCCGACGGAAATCAAAATCGAGCTCATTAAGAGACTCTCCACCACGGGTCTACGGTGTATAGAAGCGACTTCGTTCGCGCCGCAGCGATGGATCCCCCAACTCGCCGACCACGACGCGGTTATGCACGCGGTACGGGAGATGCAAGACGCCGCGGACACCTCCTCTGTGCGGTATTCTGTCCTGGTTCCCAATCTCAGAGGATTGCTGGCCGCGGCCGACGCGGGCGCACGGGAAGTAGGAGTCTTCGTCTCCCCAACTGAAGCGTTCAGTCGCAGGAACAGCAACTGCAGCGTCAAGGAGGGTCTGGAGCGGGCCAGGGAAGTGACGCAGAAGGCCCGGGAGTTGGGCATCCATGTGCGAGGGTAAGTAAAGAACATTCCCTAGTCGCAAAGAAAATACAGAAAGAAGTCCAGAAATGGCATCATCATCTGGTCATGAATACTGACGATTGATTTTGGCGCGGTAAAGGTATGTCTCCTGCGTCTTTTCTTGCCCATTCGAAGGCCCGACAAATCCGCACGACGTCTTGACCGTGGCACAAGCCCTGCTGAGCATGGGCTGCTACGAGGTCAGTCTCGGCGACACCACAGGGTCTGGGACTTCGGCCCACGTCCGGCGTCTGCTCGCTGTACTTCTGAAATACATCCCTGCCCATCGCCTGGCGGGCCATTTCCACGACACCTACGGCCAAGCAGTGGCCAATGCCGTCACGGCCTACGAACTCGGCCTGCGCACGTTCGACAGCAGCGTGGGCGGCCTAGGAGGATGTCCGTACAGTCCAGAGGCGAAGGGGAATCTTGCCACCGAAGACCTCGTCTACACTCTGGAGGGGATGGGCATTGCGACGGGCGTGGACTTACAGAAGCTGGCCGACATTGGTCACTGGATCAACGAGAAGCTGGGGAAACCAGAGGGCAGCCGAGCAGGTTCGGCAATCTATTCGAAACGCAACACCGTGCCAGCCAAAACAAGCCCTGGATGTCAACCTACGATGACATGGACCATGGTCAAACAAGATCCGGAGTATCAGCTGCTCCGAAATGGATCAACGGTCAAGATTGCTTTGGATCGACCGCGCAATGGCAACGCTCTTACCAGGACAATGCTCACTCACCTGACGACGCTGTTCGAGACGCTCTCCAAAGACCCTTCGGTCTTCCACATTGTGCTGACAGGTAAAGGCAAGTACTTCTGCACAGGCATGGACCTCAGCGGTGGTGGCGCCACGGCCGCTGGAGCAGATGCCGCCTCGAAACAGGCCCAGTTCGATGGTCTCTACAAACTATTCGAGGCCATCGACAGAACGCCTCAAACCACCATCGCACTGATCAACGGACCTTCGTATGGCGGCGGCACAGGCCTCGCTTTTGTCTGTGACATTCGCCTAGCCCAGGCCAATGCGACATTTACTATGACCGAGGTCAAGCTGGGCCTGTGCCCTGCCACCATTTCCAAGTTTGTCGTGCGCGAATGGGGCGTAGGCATTGCCCGCGAGGCCATGTTGACCGGTCGAACAGTCACGGTGCAAGAGCTGCATCGTGTCGGAGTCATCCATGCAATAACCAGCTCCTCCTCGTCACCGTCCTTCTCCACAGCCGTCGTGGACGGATCCCAGCCCAACCTGGATCGATTACTACAACACCATCTCGACAAATACCTCCGCCACGCCGCTCCGCAGGCATCAGCTCGGACCAAGGAGCTCGTCGCCGCGGCGTGGCGATACACAGGAGACGATCGTCAAGACAAAGTCATCAAAGACGTGTTCGAGTGGATGATTGCGCCCAGTGAGGAAGCACAGATCGGCACCAAGGCATTCCGGGCGGGAAAGAAGGAAGTCGACTGGTACGGGGTGTACCAAGGACGGAAGTCGACCACAGATAATGATGGCCAGGGCCGTAAAAGCAAGTTATAAATACAGAATAGCCTATCAATCTATGATCATCGACATTTTGTAAATCACCCCATCTTCTTTCTCTCTCTCCATTACCCATTGACTCTCCTATGTTAGCCAATGTTAGCCACGCAGTCCGAGACAGGGCGAGCAGAAGGGGCAGAGTGGCCATACAATCATTGCCAACGCTAAAGACCCCGTATACAAGTCGAGCCAAGCGCTGAGACGCAACCACAAGAACAACCCCAGGGAGGGGTCCGTGTTACATGGAGAATGAATGCCGATCTTGCCTCATAGCCAAGTACTTGCCAGTGTTACGCCTAGTAATCACTTAGTCTTGCAATTCCGATCATCCATTCCCGATTGATGATTCCGTGTCGCTCGAACGCCGACTCCTCCACACCGTCACCCCCGCGCGCAGTTGGCCTGGTTATGTCAGACTTTTGGTAGATCAGGCCTCGGTGACGGCTTCGAGTATGGGCCGCGCTGCAAAGACTTGTCTGTGATTGTTGTTTCTTCGCAATCCCTAGAACCCCCTTGGAGCTAGAGACCGGCGTGGACCAAAGTTTTATACTCTCCAGCTCAGAATCGATCCCTCGACCCTTGCACATATATCTTGCGAGCTATTTGCACAAGGCTAACAAGTAAGACACATACACAACGACTGCAACTCGATGGCAGCAGAGACCTTTGGCTCGTCTTTCCCCTATGCCGACCCCCTGTGGTACTCTCGGGGTGTCTCGCCCTATTACAACGAGAGCCATAGACAGTTGAGAAAAGACGTTCGTCAATACGTGGATGACCACATCACTCCGCACTGCGAACAGTGGGAGAAACAAGGCCATGTTCCTGCAGAGGTGAGTTGAAACTTGCTGTATCTCCTTACCAAGATTTATATCCAAGTGTGGTGTGGAAACCATTACGGGACTCACAATCCACGTACTCTACAGGTCATCAGGAAGCATTCAGACCTTGGATATACGGCAGTGTCGGTCTTCCCCTTGGACAAAGAATACGCCAAAGGGATCCGGTTGCCTGGAGATATCCCGTTGGACAAATGGGACGCCTTTCACGACTTGATCTGCATCGACGAGATCATGCGGTGCGGCTACCTGGGCGTGGTTTGGGGTTTGACCGGGGGAAATATCTACGGCGCACCACCGCTCGTCAACTATGGGACAGAACGACAGAAGCGACAGTTTCTGCCGGGCATCTTGAGAGGAGATATACGCTTCGCCCTCGCCGTCACCGAGCCTGATGGTAGGTGGAATCCAAACCTCCAACCCTCAACCCGAAAGTGTCCTGTATATCAGCTGTCACGGGTCAAACTAACCAACCACCGTGTCTTTAGCCGGATCGGATGTCGCAAATATCCAGACAACCGCGACGAGAAACGGCGACGTCTATGTCGTTAACGGTGCCAAAAAATGGATCACCAATGGCTTGTGGGCGGACTACTGCACCACTGCTGTGCGGACCGGCGGCCCCGGCGCCAACGGCATCTCGGTGCTGATCGTTCCCATGAAGAACAAAGGCGTCACATGTCGTCGGATGGAAAACTCGGGAGTATCAGCCAGTGGTGAGTGTCTGACACTCTCAGTCCCCTTTCAGCAAAGCGTTGTTGGAGGCTGAGCGCGACTGCTGGACTGTTCCAACTAACCACAAACTGGGGCGCGGGGGCAGGATCGACATATATCGACTTTGACGACGTCGAAGTGCCCGTGGAGAATCTGCTGGGTTCGGAAAATCAAGGGTTTCCCATGATCATGTCCAGTACGTATCCCACAGGCTGCCTCTCAAAAAAAAAAAAAAAACGAGTTCAAATCCCAAGTGAGGCGTAGTCAACCACTAAAATCTCCTGGCCACGCAATAGATTTCAACCACGAACGCCTTTGGCTCGCCTGCGCGAGCCTCCGCCTCGCACGGGTCTGCGCCGAAGACGCCTTCCAACACGCCATCATCCGCGAAACGTTCGGCCACAAACTGATCGAGAGCCCCGTGATCCGGTGGAAGTTCTCCACGTTCGGCAGACTGCTCAACTCGGCGCACGCGCACATGGAGGAGCTGACGTACCTGCTGCACACGATGGACAAGGCCGCGGCCCAGGACGCACGGCTGGGCGGGCAGCTGGCGAATCTGAAGGTCTTGGCGGGGCGGGTTCTGGAGCGGGTGAACCGCGAAGCGCAGCAAGTGCTCGGCGGGGCGGGATATAACAAGACAGGGAGGGGAGCACGGATTGAGCAGATCAGTAGAGACCTCAGGCCGTTGGTGGTGGGAGGAGGGAGTGACGAGATCTTGTCGGACTTGGCCATTCGAGAGGAGATTAAACGGTCTGGCGTAGGTGTGAATCTGAGCAGACTGTGAGGGGGGGGGGGACAGGACAGGACAGTCATGTCCATATCCCTGAATCACTTTGCTGTAGCTATATCTATCTATACCTGCTCAGCCCTTTCCACAGCAACGAGGATACCTTCTTGAGCCTGACTCACAGCACACACAATCTCAATATATTTATACCTCTGGTGACAAACAACATATCACAAGCCTGGACAATCTTCACCAGCCACATCTAAACATTATCTAACAAAACCTCTCTACCCCTCCCCTCCAGTATTCAGGAATCCTTGTCCCAAGGACAAACGACAGATCTACTCGGCAAAGATATCCACTAATACCTGACACCTCCACCCCACACCTGGGCGTTTTCGGGATTAGGGGGGAGGCAGTCGGAAATACCTTGTGAATACGAGGGGATTTGGTGAGTTTTAGTTTACAGCACGTCCCGCCGGTGGTGCAAGAAAGTAGCGAATTGAAACATTCCTTTTACCCCGAGAGATTTGGTCCTCGCTCCATATGCTTGGGCTGGTCGATTTGGAAAAGGGTATATCCCATGCCGAGACGGGTGTCCCTTTCATCCATCTGTCTATCCGCCTCTTACACTCGCTGTCTGTCCTAGATTTCTAGGGTTTCGAGACCAGACTTCACCGTACAACACAAGACAAGACAACACAGACATTACTCTATTCAGGTCAGGTCAGGTCAGCTATAGCCATGCCAATCTTCAAATCCTCGCTCCCTCCGATCGAGGTCCCCACCAACCTCCCGGTATGGACGTGGCTGTTCGACTCGGAATACAGCCCATTGCAGAGACAGCAGCACGGCGAGAAACTGGGCGGATTCACAAACGCAATCACGAAAGAACGCCTCGGCTACGACGAGCTCAAGGTGCACACGACACACCTCTCGACGGCGCTGGTGAGGCGGTACGGTCTGCGGGCGGGCCAAACCGTGGGGATCCTCACGCCCAACACGGTGTGGTATCCCTGTGTCATGTTCGGCACCCTGCGCGCGGGCGGGATAGTCTCTGGCGCGTCCCCGGCCTACAACGCCGAGGAGTTGGCCTTTGCGCTGAAAACGGCCGAGGCCAAGTTCCTCTTCACCGCGCCTCCGAATCTCCCGGTCGCGGTGGCGGCGGCGAGGAGCGTCGGGATCCCGCGGGAGCACGTCTTCCTGATCTACGGGGCAGCGGAAAACTTCACCACGCTGGCCGAGTTGCTCGAGATCGGCAGGTCGTACGGCACCAGCCAGGTCGAGGCGTATAGAATACCCCCGAACAAACAAAACAGGGACGTCTGCGCGTTTCTCTCCTTCTCCAGCGGCACGACAGGCCTCCCCAAAGCCGTCATGGTGGGCCACTCCAACATCATCGCCCAATGTCTGCAGGTGGGACGGATGACCCCAGCCTCTCTCCGGCGGATTCTCACGGTCCTGCCCCTTTTCCACATCACGGGTCTGGTACACCACCTCCACCTCCCGGTCTTTCTGAACGCCGAGGTCTATCTCCTCCCGAGCTTCACGATGGAGGATACACTCCAGAGCATCCAGGACTACCAGCTCGAGGAAGTCCTGCTCGTGCCCCCCATCTTGATCCGCATGGTCCGCGACCCGGCGCTTCTTCGACGGTACAACCTCAGTTCGCTACGACGACTCATGTCCGGCGCGGCGCCCTTGTCCGCCGAGATCCTCGCCTTGATCCAACAATACTTCCCCAACATAGGATTCAAGCAAGGGTACGGCATGACCGAGTCGTGCTCGTGCATCACGCTGCACCCGCCCGACATGTATGATTTCCGGTACGCAACGCGGGTCGGGGCGATCGTGCCGTCGACCGAGGTCAAGTTCGTCGATCCGCAGACCGGCAGGGAATGCGGCGTCAACGAGCCCGGCGAGATCTGGGCGCGCGGACCGCAGATCGTGATGGGCTACCTGAACAACAAAAAGGCCACGGAAGAAACCTTTGACCGAGAAGGCTTCCTCCACACGGGGGACATCGGGAGTATCGACGACGAGGGCATGGTGAGCATCACGGACCGTCTGAAGGAGATGATCAAGGTCAACGGCATCGGCGTGGCGCCCGCCGAGCTCGAAGACCTCCTCCTGGGCCACGACGAGGTCGAGGACGTGGCCGTGCTGGGAGTCAAGGACGAGCTCTCCGGCGAGCATCCCAAGGCATTCATTGTCGCGAAGCACCGGGCCACACGGAAGAGGACGCTGGAGGAGGAGGAGGAGGAGGAGGAGGAGGATCTCGACGCCCTCAGGGGACGGTTGATCAAGTACGTCCAAGAGCGGAAAGCACGGCACAAATGGATCGCCGAGATCGACTTCATCAACGAGATCCCCAAGTCGGCGTCCGGCAAGATCCTCAGACGCGTCCTCAGAGACAAAATGTCTCGGGGGAATCCGCGAGCGGCCAAGCTGTAGATAGGATGGGATGGGGTGGAACTGTTGCATTGTACGCGGACGCCCAAAAGAAAATCAGTCAAGACCAAGACCAGGTAGCTTGTTCCTTTGTGACTCTGGTAGTGACATGATGGGGTTGGGTGGTATGAAGTGATAAATAGTCTCCTGTAATTAGCCCTAGCAGTAGAAGCTTTGGTTGCTCGCTCCCGCCCCCGCTCTCACTCCTATAGACGACCCCTCCCTCCGCCTTCAGTTCACACCCTCATGGCCCCAAAGCTACTGATAAAGTCGCTGAGCTGCTCCATGCTCGTCTCGTCGTATCTCGGCAGGATCGTCCCAGGAACATTGCAAAGCCAGCTATTGATGCCCGACAGACTTTCGGCGGCTTCGAGGCTTCTCTGGGCCGACGACAGCCTCTTGAGTTTGACCTGTGCCAGCAGCCAATACTCTGGGGCCTTTCGCATGAAGCCCGTCCTCTTCCAGGACTCGGTCGAATCCAATCCGGACCCAGCTGTCTGGTTCGAATCCGGAGAGGTGGTGGTAATGGTGGTGGCGGATTTGCGAGAGCCTCGCGAGCCATCCAACGTCAGGCCGAGTTTCCATATGACTCGCCAGTTTGCGATGGCGTTCTCCATGGCTTCGACTTGGGATTCGGACCCAAAGCCTGGATCGATGTGGAAAATGTAATTGTGGAAGGCGGAGACGATCGTCCACAGAGTGAGGACGCCGGTCTCGGCGAGGGCGCGCTGGGTGGCCGGGTCGATGGTCCTCTGCCGAAAGCATCGGATCGCGGCGTACAGCGAGGTGCATGCGGGATGGCGTGGGCGAGCGGTCCACTGCCGGATCTGATCGAAGCACTCTTGGGAGGTGGCCGCCTGGAAACAAGGTTCCGGACAGGCCAGGTCGTTTGTCATCTCGCGAATGATCATCCTCGGGGGCAGATTGTTGAAGATGGTGAACGCCGTGTCGAGGAGAAAAACGTACATGACGGTGCGGATCAGTTGTTCGCGGAGCACGAACGTCTGCCACGAAAAGTCCTGGAATCTGTACGTCCCGAGTTGACCGTGATTGGCGTGTCTCATGAGACAGCGAGCCGTTGAAACCAACGAGCCAAAGCGTCGTCGGCGGATTCGCTCTTTGGCTGTTGTATCTCGGCCTTCCCAGGTTTGGAAGAGGCACACAGCATACGCGGCTTGGAGAGAGTGCAGTCTGGCCTCGAGCTGGTCCGGAGGGCAGGATGGCATCGCCACCGACATCCCTGGGGGGAAAGTTGCCTCGTCCGCGAACACCATTTCCTCCACCATGTCGAACCAAACTTTGGCGTTTTCGCGATCCGAGCGATGCGGGGATAAAGACGCACCGATCACGGCCATGGGCGCGAGGAGTCGACAGGGGCACGTCGCAGCATTGAAAGACGGTTTATGGATGGTTGGCCAGTTCGGGTACCACAGCACCCAGTAATACTCCAGATAGCGTTGAAGATTGCTCGGCTGGAAGAAATGGACGCAGGCACTTTCCTTGAGCGAGGACCAGTCACCCATGGCCGACGTGGCAGCAGCCGAGCCACGAAGCCGAGCTGTGGCTTTGATGGCAACGACAATCTCATGGCTTTTCAACGCCAGTGCACTGCTCAGAGTCCCAGAAGAGATGGACTCGCTGCAGTAGGACGGTTTCCGGTGCCAGGAATCCGACGGTGGTGCTACAGGGCTGGGATTTGACTCGTCTCTCTCGAATGGTGGCGACACACAGAATTCTTCTTGGTACAATTCCATATCGGGGGTACCGGTGACATGCTGGAATTCTTCCATACCAAGAGAGTCGAGGTTGATCTGTCGAGTCTGCTCTCTCGCTGTCTTCGAGTGCTGTTCGAAGAGAATGCTCCGTGACTCGTTGACAGGGTATGAAGATCGGTCAGACAGACCTTCCCACGAGTCTTCCCCGACTGAAGAAGGATCCTGTGCCACGAGGGTACTGTCCACGTCAAAGGCGTCGCTCATTCCAGAGTCATTGGTTGTGAAGCGGGCGAGAAAATCAAAGGAATCCGCAGGGTCGTCCTCCAGATCACTGCCATCTGTGGAGTATGCTAGATCACGAGCTAGATCAGCGGAGTGGCTCTGGTCACCGAGTCCGTCCACGGACGGGAAGAAAGCAGACTCTCGATGTTGAAGATACACCTGGTGAGTGTCCAATGGTCTTTGTTGTCCGACCTCTTCGACGAGGGTGACCGAGCTTTTTGGCGCTTCCATGGCCATCTTTGGTGGCGCGCTCTCTATGTCTGGCTGTGTCTCTGAGCTAGACATGTCCGACGACTGCTCATTCAGCCGTGAGTACGTACACGTTGACTTCCTCGAAGCACAAGACTTGCACGGCCGCTCCGAGTTACAACCTCGCTTCAGCCGGGCGCACTGGTCGCACGCTTCTCGACGCGTCTTTGGTTTCTGATTCAACGCCGGCCACGAGTCGCGAGGACTTTTGTTGCTGGGGCATTTCTGGTGGTGACGCGTGAGAACGTCTCTTCGTTTGAAGCTTTTGCCGCATGACTGACACGAGTACGGGTAGTTATCGGTGTGGGATGCGAGATGCCGTCGAAGATGGTCCACGCGGCTGTATGTCGTGCCGCAGATAGGACAGAAGGGTTCTTGACTCGCCTGCTGGGTTTTTTGCGCCATCGAGGTGTGCTTTTTCCAGCTTTTGGGGGGGAGGGTTGAGTCTCTGGCAGGGGGGAAAAAAGGAACGAAAACTTGACCCTGGCAGTGATTATCCCATGGCGACAATGACACAAGAATAGAGGGGGTCTGCCGGCTGGTTCGGTGTGAGTGTAAGAGATATGCTGGAGTGTGAATCGAACGAAACCCGCTGCTTCACTTCGGCCCTCGCGGAGCTCTTGGAGCTGCAGTAATTCTCCCGGATAGACACCCTGACACCCAACCCAATTCTCCCACGGGGTCAAGAGCCGACGATGCGGGGCCCCCACAAGCTCCGCAATACGAGCCTCTAATGGTCCCTGTGTCGTTTGTCGAATGGCAGAAATGCCGATTGAAGCGAGATCTTCCCCCACAAGAGGCTCCGTGCCGTACTAGCCTCGTTCAGTCCAGTTTCGGCACATGGACGAGGCTTTCAATATTCAAAAAAAAATACACATAAGAATGGGTGGCTTGGGGGAGGGGAGAGGGACCAGGTATATCGTACGGGAATTCTCTTTCTTTGTGCAAACATCCCCATCAAAGGACTTTTGAGATCTTGCCAGAAAATGACTTCTGATCTTCCCATCCTTACTACCACCACGAATGGTAACTCCACCGGCCGAGTACCTAATGGCACGGCATCCCGAAACGCAGGTGACCCTTTGGTGCTGCCACCGGGGATCGATTCGAAACAGTTCCACACCTTCATCCGCCGCGTGCAGGACATTGTTGGGTTGGAAAATGTCACCATTGTCACCTCGCCCGGGGTGTCGGACGAGGAAAGCTATCTGAACCCGAGCAAGACGCGCGACATATTCCACATCCTCGACGAGGATTACTTTGTCAGTTCGGCCACCGTGGCCCCGCGGAACGTCGCCGATGTTCAGGCCATCATGAGACTGTGCAACGAATTCGAAATCCCTGTGTGGCCCTTTTCCATCGGCAGGAACGTCGGCTACGGCGGTGCTGCCCCCAGGGTACCCGGGAGTATTGGCCTCGACATGGGAAAGAACATGAACCGAGTTATCGAGGTCAACGTCGACGGTGCCTACGCCCTGGTCGAGCCTGGGGTCACGTTCCAGGACCTCCACGACTACTTGGTCAAGAACAACCTGCGGGACAGACTGTGGGTGGACGTCCCAGATCTGGGCGGTGGATCGGTTTTAGGGAACACACTAGAAAGAGGAGTTGGCTACACTGTTCGTATTCATGGCTTTTCAAAATTTGAAGGGGTTCCGGGTTGCTGATCAAGAAAACAGCCTTACGGTGATCATTGGATGATGCATTGTGGCCTCGAGGTGGTTCTGCCGGACGGGACCCTGCTACGGACCGGGATGGGAGCGCTTCCTAACCCAGACGCTGATCCTTCGCTTCCACCTGAAGAGCAGCCAAGTAGCCAGGCGTGGCAGCTGTTCAATTATGGATTCGGCCCGTACAACGACGGCATTTTCACGCAGTCATCTCTCGGTGAGTGTCATATGCTCCAGAAGAGAAGGAAAAGGAGCCAGCCACAAAGACGACGCAATGCTACTAACACTTCAGAACAGGAGTCGTTGTCAAAATGGGCATGTGGCTCATGACCAATCCCGGCGGATACCAATCCTACCTGATCACCTTTCCCAACGACAAAGACCTTCACCAGGCGGTTGAGATCATCCGCCCATTGAGAGTCGGTATGGTTTTGCAGAACGTACCCACGATACGACATGTCCTCTTGGACGCCGCAGTCATGGTAAGCCGTGGATGATGGCCATGCCGCGAAAAGCTGGCTAAAGTAATATGACTAGGGTAACCGTAAGAGATATTCGCAATCCGACAAGCCCCTCACCGACCAAGAAATCGACGCGATCGCCGCCGAGCTCGGTCTGGGGAGGTGGAACTTCTACGGTGCGCTGTACGGACCGGCGCCCGTTCGAGAAGCCATGTGGCAGGTGGTCAAGGCGTCCTTCTCCCAGATTCCGGGGGCCAAGTTCTACTTCCCCGAAGACATGCCGCAGAACAAGGTCCTCCAGATCCGGGACAAGACCCTCCAGGGGATCCCCACCGTGGACGAGCTGAAATGGGTCGACTGGCTCCCGAACGGGGCACACTTGTTCTTCAGCCCGATCGCCAAAGTCGGCGGGGACGACGCGGTCGCGCAGTACGAGCTGACCCGCCGACGGAGCGAGGAGTTTGGGTTCGACTTCATCGGCACCTTTGTGATCGGCATGCGCGAGATGCACCACATCGTATGCATCGTCTTTGACCGCAAGAACCCGGAGCAGCGACAAAAGGCCCACAAACTCATAGCCACGCTGATCGACGACGCGGCGAAACGGGGCTGGGGCGAGTACCGGACACATCTCGCCCTGATGGACCAGATCGCCGCGACGTACAACTTCAACGACAATGCCCAGATGAAGTTGAACGAGACAATCAAGAATGCGCTGGATCCAAAGGGCATCCTGGCTCCCGGGAAGAATGGCATCTGGCCGCGATCGTACGATAAAAATGCTTGGAGAATTAATGTCTGAGGTCAGTGGATCGTAGATCAGAGCTGCATATAATATCCTTTACATATATCCATGCATGCCTTGTGCATATCTACAAGAACAAGTCAAAGTACGTGACGTGATGGGGGAACTAGGCCAAGGTGAGGCAGGTGGCATCAAGTCGGCACTGCGAATGACATGTTTTCAAGGGGTGCGACCTCTAAATTGGTTCATATCAAAACTATGACCGACCCATACATTAGAATGTTGCGTGAGATGCCAGCACCGAAGTCCTAGAAAAGGAGCATATAGATCCTCAATCATTTCTCAGGGTCCTTCAAACGAACATCAGGAATCAAAAATCAAAAATCAATTCGACAGCGCGACACGATCCTTTCGTCGCCTGGCCCGCGTAATCAGCCCGGTCTGCTTGTTGAACCAGAAATTCTGCGTGTCCCAGGGCCTGTCCGTGGCCAGCTCGAGGTCAAACGTCCGCAGGAGCTGCGGGATGAGTTTGTGCAGTTCGCTCAGAGATATCTGTTTGCGGGAGAAGGAAGTTAGTCAGTGATACCTTTACCATGTCGTCTTTGTTTCTTGACTGGTGTTCTTTCTACCCAAGATAAAGGAGAGGAGAGGCTTAAAGGGACCAAGAAAGAGTGTCTTGGGGAGAAACATACATTCTTGCCAATACATGTTCTCGTCCCCGCCCCAAAATGGAGCATGTACTTGTCCATGGTTTTGGCGTCGGCGGTCAGCCAGCGCGAGGGCCGGAACTTGGCAGCGTCGGCGCCAAATATCCTCTGGTCATGGTGGACGACAGCGGCGTTCATGCCGACGCGATACCCGCCCGGGATGACTTCACCGCAGAGTACCAGGCCGCCCTCGGGGGCCACGCGGGGCATGGTGAGGCCAACGCTGGGGTGGAGGCGCATTGCTTCCTTGATGCACGCGCACAGGAGCGGGAGTGTGCTCGCCTCGGAGTACTGGATCGGGTTGCTGAGGAGGCCGTGCTCGTCCGCGTCGTCAATCTCGGCCATGACCTCCTTGTACACGGTCGGGTTCTTCATCAGATGGTAAATGACAGAGCGCATGGCGATGGCGGTGGTATCGGAACCGGCAAATCTACACGCGGAGAGGTCTCTGTCAGTACGGACGTGCACAAGCTCTTGCAAGATATGAAGCAAGGACTAGTATGGACAAGACAGGACAGGACAGGACCGACATTGCCACATAAGATTCGTACTGAATCTCCCCCACTTTGAAGTCGTATTTCTCCCCTTTTTCCTGGGAGATGTCAAAGAGCTGCTGCAGGAGGTCTGTCCGGACGTCCTCGCTGCCCGTCGACAAAGCCTGCAGCCTCCTGTTGACACAGTCACGCGCCGCCTGAGCGATGTGGTCAATGGCCTTGAGCGCCTTTCGGACCGTGGGACTGAGCAGCGAGGTGCCTAGTATAAAAGGTCGCATGTAAGTCGGTGCCAGGCCCGTCTCGGTGAGCACGGGGAGAAGCGCGTCGAGGGACTGGATGTAGGACTCGTAGTCGGTGCGGTGCTCCATGAAGCCGAACATTTTGCCAAAGTACAGCTCGCCGACGACGTCGAAGGCATACCTATGTAGGTGCAAAGGGATTAGTGTGTCTGCTCTGACCTCTTGGAAGGGTGGGGGAAGATTCACATCTGCAGCCATTGTCCGAGATCGAATTCTTCTCCTCGGTCGGCAAACTCCCCAACGCGTTGCATGAAGAGGTTGGAGCAGTTGTCAATGTAGCGCTCCGACCGCAGCACGTTCGACAGACTGTACACATGACTGACGATCCGTCTCCGCTGGGCGTGGAGTTTCTCGTCCGTGGTGCTGAAGTGGTCCGGGTACTTGCTGAACGACTTGTTTCCCCAGACAGGGTAAAAGTCAGACTTTGACAGAGCGTTCGTCGTCCGGTAGATGTGTGGGATCGCCTCCGGGTCGGCACAGGCGATCTCGTTCGGGGCGATGCGGATGAGGGGGCCGTATTTCCTGTGCAGCTCGCGTTGCACGTCTTGCATCTTGCCGTGCGAGGTCTGGTGCATGATCCATAGTCTCGAGACGGACGCGAGGAAAGGGCCCGGGATCTTGGCCAGGGGATGCAAGGTCCTGCAATAGACGATCCAACCGAGCAGATAGAGCACAGCAAGGCTTGGAAGAAGTGCCCAGGGCAGCATAAAGAGAGCGGTATATCTGAAAGGGTCGGAAAGCATCTTGGATGATTGCAGAGTATTCTCTGCACCATACAAAGAAATGAAGAAGTCTGGAGGAAGAGGAAGAAGAGAAGAAGGAGGAACAGGAGAAACAAAGTATTCAGTCCCCGATATCGTACACTTATTTACCTCTTCAGTGACCCAGAGGTGTTGGTTGGACACATAGTATTCGTAACTCGTGCAATGGTCCGGGATCGACTGGTACTCCACGTCTTTCCCCGGATCTTTCCCTCCACATCAGCCCGGCACTTGAGGGAGAGTCGACCTTCTGCTCCAAGTTGTGCCTGGCGGTAGCAAAAGCTCCTCCAAAGATTCTCCCCGAGCAAAAGTGTGAATATCTCTAACGTCCCTTACTCGATGAAAACAGTACACTTTCCCGGCGATCCTTTAGCTGTCTTCATAGACGGACCAACAGCAGGGTTAGGATCCTCTTCGTGTTATGTCTTGTGGGCTCACCACTACCTGGTACGGGAACCGTACTCATAGACCTGCCAACACGTAGCCAGAGAGACAGACAACTATGCAAATTCGATACACAAGGATCATAGAGCCTCGGGATTTGTCCCCCTCAAAAGGTTCCACTCTCCCCCCACATGGATCTCCGTGCCGAGATTGATATTGTTCCCGATGTGATGGCCACCGTCCTTAGTAGTGGAGCCTAGGTAGTTGATAGACCTAGCTAGTTCCAGTATGCTTTTACACATTCTTTCACATGGGCAAGCAGGTGAGGCAATGTCGCCCAAGACACGTGATCAAAGCTTGGCCCCGCGCTGTCAAAGGCTGAAATCGCACGCCGAGTCACCTTTCATTAGCACCAACCATGACGACCCTACAGAGCCCGTCGATTTTGCTCCAGCCTATTGACAAGTGGACTCCACATCATCTCAACTTTCTACAGGTGGACGACGGCCAACCTTTCATATTCCTGAGTGATATCACAGTAGAAACCGATCAAGGTACATGGTACAATCTCTACCCCATGCGCGATAAATTCTGACTTGCGATCTCAAGCCGACAATGAATTCCTAGAATATTTTTTGATTCCCACTCAAGATGTGCTCAACTTCCTCCACTGCCGTTCTAGATATCGAACAAATCCTTTCCGTCGGGTTTTCAGCCATCTCCATCGAGTTCTCGAAGTCGCGGACGATCCTCCCGTACAGATAGGTCTTGTAGAATCTCTTGTGGAGGTGCTGTTGAGTTTCAGCCCCAGGCGGGCTGTACTGTATGGGACACAGCTGAGAAAATGGACGACAACTGACGAAATATAGAGTCACAAAAAGAGCCGAACCTCTGAAAATTGGAGGCCTACGAATCAAGTGCGATGGACTTTTCATACAAGACCAGCGGACACTCGTCCCGGTGGCGACATACTTGGTAGGAAGAAACCAGGTTCCACGGAAGAATATCCTTCTAAGCACAGACTGCAGGCTTTAAGGGGGTCTGATGACGACAAGATTCGCGAAATTCAACAAATCCTTGCCCAAGCAATTCTTGCGTTCACTCAACGACCCGAGATGGATAAATTTGTTAGCTTTGTGGTGTGCTCGACCGGAGCCACGTTGTACTTGGCCAGTGCCCATGTCACCCGAGGCTACATCGAACCTCTTCGCAAATATCAACGACCGAGCCTACGTTTACGAGTCTGTCGCTCTGAAATCTACGATCTGAAGATTCCGGATGGTAGGAAGTACGTAGCGATGCTTCTGCTGAGGATGCTGAAATACTTGGACGAGAGAAAACTGCCATAAAAGACTTGGATTCCACAACGACCCCTGCCACGTCTGCAAATCATATCCCTGAGATCTGCCCACAAACAAGCACTCACTTATCGGCATTGTTGGGCTATTGAGATGGGAAAGATATGACTCTTTTATGTCTACGACGGTCAAACGTACGACAGTACAGTGGGTGCTGGCGACCAAGGCATGTTGGTCTTTCCATCCACCGAGCTCTAGGGATTGAGCAGTGGCTTGGCCTAGAAGTTCAGCGGCCTCTTGACCCAGTGGACGCGCTGTCCACTCTCCCGTCTCGCCACTGGTTCGATGGATTCTGCCTGCGCTTCGCCTTTTGGCCTGGAAGCGAGTAAGTTGGTTCAGTACTCGACGACGTCCTTAACAACCTTGATGGAAGCGTACACGTTGTCGAGGTGAACAAAAGTTGTAGCCAAAGCAAAGCTCCCCCTGGAATGACATTACCCAACCAGGAACAGAATCTTCCGTTCGAGACCGCTGGGCCTCATTCAGGGGGTTGATACGTCGATCAGATCGATTGGGACATCTACACATTACATCAGCACCCACACAGTCAGCGAACGATAAGTGCCAAAGAGCAGATATGGCCGCCTTTGTAAAAGGCACCTTGGGCTCAAGAAATGGAAGAAAAGGACTCCTCACCTTGTGGCACTGGTACTTGGTCAGCCCCAACTTCCGGGTGGTCCCTCATATTCCAATACTCGGCAAAAGTAAACGTCGCATCCTGGAGAGAGACGAGGTTCCCATGATCGTCCCATTGAATATTGTCATGCACCCATATGGAGTTCTCACGATTGGTGTTGGCAATAGCCTGGACCAGGCAGATGTCGATGACCTTTTCCTGTCCACCCTGCCTCCAAAGGCAAAAGCAATGGCACGAGAAGTCCGTGCGGCTCTGATCTGTCTCAACGAGTCGGGATTGGTCGAACGCGGCATAGAAAGGATTGTTGCAGGGAGCATTCGTCCCAATCAGGACGCTGGGCTTGATAAAGCCCCAGGGTCGGACTTCGCAGGTTCGAGTCTCAAAAAACTATCAAGGGGTGAGATTAAAAGCGTCTGGGCTTTTTTTTTTTTTTTTTTTTTTTTTTTTTTTTTTTTTTTTCAGGTACACTCACATCGATTTCCCGGCCCGTTTGCGGATCCGTCCGCCTGCCGAATGATTTGAATGCGTAGTTGACAAATGCACCCAAGTCAAAACAGTTACAGGTTGGGTGATATTTACTCAGCATCGAACCCAAGAAGAAAACTGACCCACGAAGATAGGATGGAGCACCTTCAACTGAGTCATAGGTAAGACCTGATCCGGCAAAGTCCCAGAGTTGTTGAACAACATGTGCAACGAGGACGATTTTCACATCCTCCGGAGAAAGGGTCGTGGAAGCTATATCGCCATACTCGGGGATGGTCAACTCGATCAATTCAAATACGTGGGCTGGAACACTCTCCTTGTCGGGTGAAAGGGCACTCGGGTTGGCTATGTGGAAGCTGGGATCGCCCAGGAAGAAGTAGATTTCCAGTGGCACCTGGCATCGAGCAACCGGCGTGGGTAGCCCAACCTCATACAAATCCCAGATCCAAAGTCCCGTGGCCTTGAACGGAAAATGCACCTTGTCCATCTTGCCATACAAAAAGGTCGTGTCGAGTTTGGTCTCAACTCCCGTCGCACCGCCATCTAACTGGAACTGACGGCTGGTAATCGGATAGCTGTGTGTCTCTCCAGGATCAGGGATGACCGGTGGTCGCCTATCATCCTTGATCGAACTGCCGCGAAGATAGTAGCGATGTACCCCAGCAGGAACAGGAATCTGCATTGAGATCTGCAGAGGGATGGGCACCTCGTTCTCTTCACTGGGGATCAACTTCAAAGCAATCGGGTGCCGCTGATTGAAGTCATCGTAGATCACAGTTGGCACTTGACGTGGGGCCTGTTCTCCGGCCCTCCAGATTGCTTGATGGGCGGCGTGGGGGACGGTGGTGATTTGAGTAATTGAGAAGCCGTTCATTATGCTGAGTGGTGCACACGAGACAGCTGCTGAAAAGCCAAAAGGAATCCTGGTAAATGGGATCCCTAGAACAGTGAATTTGGTCTGAGAGTCTTCAAGACAGCTCTGAGGGATAATCTCCTTGCTTCAGATATGATTGCTTCGGAGGAAGTGTGAGAGAGACAGAAGGGAGGAAACCAACAGGGAAAATACCGTAGATGCCGGGGTCCTTGCTGCTGAGAAGAAGAAGAAGAAGCTCAATATTATGTACATGGCACGAGGCGCTGCTGCTCATGATGGGAAAGGCACCCCAGGATAGACAGGCACCTGCCCACCCCCTCCTGGTGTCCCCCTTGTTCCATCCCAAGCCACTCTCTTTTCCGGTGTGAGATGTCGAAGCTTGAGATTTATTGGACAGCAAGCCGGAATATGACCTTGTCAGAGGCCAAGTCAACAATCTCTGCGCCCGACTCGGGTGAGTGCGTCAGAGTGAGGCTGAGGCCCCTCGCTCGGATAGGTCAGACCAGTGTGACAAGTGACTTATACTAGCCATGCACGCCAACCTCGAGCACGAAGCAGACAACGTCCAGACTGCCATCGACTCGAGCCAACGCAGACTCACAGGACCTTTCTGTGTAACTTTGGCAGAAGCCTTGGGTTAGCGCGACGACGGCGACGGCAGCGGCAGCAGCACCACCGACGTGCTGGGGGCTCCTGGTTTGATTCGTGGTCTCCTTCCACGCAGGGACGCTAGTTGGAGCGCAAACGGACCGAGCGATGCAGTGACGGGATGAACAAATCCGATGCTCCGCGGGATCCATGTTCGATTTGAGCCTCACCAGTGTGCAAGTTGACCTTGGCTTGACTCGGTCTTCGCCTATCTATCCGTGTACTGTACCCGGATACATATGTTTCCGAGTACCAAGCAGGAGGTGCCAGGGTGCCAGGTCTGAAAGCCAGTCGGGAAACGTAGATATCTACCTTGTGTGACAGGATTATTCAGCTTTTATTTAAAAGAAAAAGAAAGGCAACAGGGCACTACGAGTAGTGGAGTTCGAGACTACAAGGCAAGCAAGTTGCTTGTTTAGAAGCCTTTGCACTCGGGGCATACGTATAATACTATAGCTACCGGGCCTACATACATCCCTAGACCCAAAGTAACCAATAGTGGTGGCGACAGGGGAGGTTCTTGTTTTTGTCAATACGCCCATGGAATAGCCTCCCCGCCATACACCTCCCTACAACTTTTCTTTTACACCTTGTCCGCAATGGACTGGCCAGTCTGCTCGCCGGGCATCTTGAAGACAATCTTATGGACCTTGCGGGCCTCAAAGTCCTTGTAGGCCTGGGGCGCGTCCTCGAGGGACATGGTGCGGCCGCACAGGAAGGCGACCTTTTTCTGCTCCTTGACCAGGATGTCGAGGGCGTCCTCGAAGATGCTGCGCACGGGGCAGCGGCCAAAGGCCATGGTGACGTTCTTGCCGTAGCACAGCAGGCCGTTGAGCGGGATCGTCTCCGTGTGCACGCCGATGGACGAGATCTGGCCAAACGGCCGGATCATGTCAAAGGCCAGCATGAAGGCGTCGGCGTGGCCCACCACCTCGAGCACCACGTCGGCTCCGCGTCCGCCGCTGGCCGCCTTGATCTTCTCCACTGGATTGTCGTTCAGGTTGATCGGGATGGCCCCAATCTTCTCCGCCTCAGCCAGCCGTTCCGGGATCGAGTCAATCGCGTACACCGTCTTGACCATGGTCAGCGCGCACGTAATGGCGCAGATTCCCACGGGCCCGCACCCGATCACCACCGTCGTGAACTCGTCGCGGTCACGCTGCGGGAGGTTCTTCAGGAAGCGCTGTGCCGCGAAGTACCCCGTGGGGAAGATGTCGGCCATGAGAACGAGCATCTCCTCAGGAATTCCTGCGGTGATGATACACACGTCAATGAGAAAAGCTCGCTTTCAAGAAAAGAAAGGAACAGCTGGTGCTCAAAAAGGGAGAGAGAATACTCACCAGGCGGAGCTTTGACCAAAGTAGTATTCGCCAACGGCACCCTCACGTACTCGGCTTGTCCGCCATCAATGGCGTTGGCCGGGACCGAGTTACCAAACAACTCGCCTTTGCTGCACCGACTGGCCTGTCCGCGCACGCAGTAGTAGCATTCCTGACAGGCCGTGTAGAAGGGAACCACGACCTTGTCGCCAATGTTGAAGTTGGTGACGGCGTCGCCTTTCTCGGCAATGGTCCCCACAAACTCGTGACCGCAGATGAAGTTTGGCGGGCACTTCAGATGGCCTCGGTAGAAATGGAGGTCCGAGCCCTATGAAGAAATGCGAGAGAGATGTTCAATATGAAGACGGTCGTGGGTTCAAAAGAGGAATGGCGGGTAGGAATAACTTACGCATAGAGCAGTCGAAGTGACCTTGAGCACGGCGTCGGTCGGCTTCTGGACCTTCGGGGTAGGTCTATCTTCCACCTCGACCTACAACGCGAGAAGAGAAACATCAATACCAGTCAGGTTTTCGGCTTTTGCTCGCGAGTTAAACAACACATTTTGGAGGCAGGCAGTAGATCCAGATCCAGCCAAGGACCCTCGAATCCCACGGAGGAAAAATGTTCTGACAGGCAAAGAGATCACCAAAGCCGCTTCCGGGAAAGCGACCTTTTCTGGTCGTCGATCGAGCCAAGGCCTGCAAAAGAAGCAGTGATTGGTTTCTTGCCTACTTACATGGAAGTCACCCTTCAGGACGACGGCACGCATTGTAGCTGGAGGCATTTTGGGGAATGGCGACGAGGGTTCTCTCTTAGCTTCTCCTGCTTCAGCTTTCGCTCACTGTCGTGCTTGCCGGGTGTGAGAAATTGCGTTCGACGTAGATCAAAGTCGAGTGAACCTAGGATCGGATCTAATGCGAGGGGGAGGAGGTGGGGAGAAAAGGGAAATAGCTTGAGAAGAGCCGAGCAAGTCGTTCTCCGGGATGCAAAACTGCAATGCTTGTTCCTGCTCTGGGACGAAGCCTAGTCGCTTAAAGGGATGTTGACGTGCCTGGGATGTCGGATGTCGAATGTCGAGACGTAAAACGTAGATTATATGAAGGTGAGAATGGTGGGCTGCTGTCGTCTCGATCGAAATCGTCATGAGACTTGCTTCTCCTCGTTTTTTGTTTTCCGCTTCCTTCAATCATTGCCCGTTCCCCCTCCCCTTTAAAATGCCACATCCGATCCTTCTCTACTCTCGGAGAAGCGGGGGTTCTTTTTCGTTCAAGCGAGTTCCCCGCCCGTGCAACCGTTGGTTTTGGGGGGCGAGTCGTGCCGCGGCAATGCGATTTGGGCTGCGAACATGCGGGGGAAAAGAAGGATTAATGAGTTGGTCTGACGACGAGGCTGAGAGCCCCGTGGAGCCACTCGCTGGATTTGGCCCTGTCACGTGCTCGCTGAGAACTCCAAGTCGGCCTTGGCAGCCTTGTCACTGTCAATTATGTCATATACCCAGATATCCAGATCCAGATACCCGATATCCAGCAATGCCAGTTACCTAGGTACGTGCGAGATCCGGAGTCTTGCTTGTACACATAATCTCTGACTCACAATGCCTGGCATACTGTTCATGGTCATACTGCATTATCATTTCGGGTCGTCCTTGGTCACCAAACTTTTACTGTCCTTTATCCAATAGTACCATAAGTCACACACTATATCACAATTGACCAACACCCCTAGTATCACCTGCCCAGATGTCATTTAGTAATCAAATCCATCGTACGCACTCCCGTCATACCTCCTCCGGATGCTTGGCGGATAGCTACGCATGCCCGCGCTCTGTTGCCCTTCACTGGGATGTAGCGAGCTGGAATCCTGATTCTGGTCGCCCTGGTATGTCGACGACCCAGATCTTCGGCTGTATGTCGAAGCAGCATATGTCAAAGCCTCCTGTGGCAGATCCTTGACCTCATAAGAATGGTCGCTCGCCTGTCGTACAGGCTGGGGTTTGACATTCGCCCCGTAGTTGGGGTATCGGGCTTGTTGGCTGGGAAGCAGTGCACGGCCACCTGTAGCAGTCGGACTGGCTGGCATGGGGGAGGTGACATTGTTGAACGCGGCGCTGGCGCCAGCCATTTGATCTCGTGCTGACACGGGATTTCTCGTCGCAGCCGACGACGAGGAGAAAGCGTGGGTGATAAAATCAAAGCTGGGCACTGACGCCGGAATCGAGTTTCGGAATGGATTACCTTGGTCTTCGTACGGACTGTCCTGCCCTTGCTCCACGGGTGTTTTCAATGCGTTCGGAATGGCTGACGTCGGCGTGGCAGTAGCCGTGTACGACGTGGGCGTGTTTTCGTTGCTACCGTGTATTGAGTATTCATTTGGGTTGACCACAGACAGCTTAGGCGGTCGTCCTTGTGAAAGGCCAAGTTGTGACCCTTGAGGAGTATAATCGTCAAGTTGCTGATCTGGGTCAGCATTTGGGTCGAAGAACTTTTCGTCCGTCAGGTAGGGATTGGATCTCTCGTCCATATCGTCGAAGTTGGTGCTTGGCATCTCAACTATTCCCTCCGGAAGAGTATAAGGCTTGTCGCTCAGCGACACTCCGGTCTGGTTGCCATCGGACGCAGCAGGATCATACAGTCCCGTTGGGTCAATCTGATAATGGTTCGGTGGCAACGTGAAGGGAAGTTCGGGCACGATGCTCGATCGGCTGGACACTCGATCCCCCTGGGCATTTCCCCTGAACTCGGAGGCAATCGAAGCTCGTCGCTGGTCTTGCTGACTCACTGATAGCGTTTTACTCATCATACTAGGAGCTTTGCGCTCGCCGGGTGCTGTAGACATCTGCCCTTCTGGGCCCTCGCCGTCTCGAATGCCAAACTGGGCAATGGTACGCAATTTCCTCGTTACCCATGAGGCCAGAATCTTGCCTCTCTGCTTCTCCGACAATCGACTTCGAGGGAAATCGCCGTCACCAACAAATGCCACAATGTCGACAACGATTTGATGCTCGTGAAGAACGGCATTGACAATGACCGGGAC